CGCCCGCGCGGGCGATGGGGAGGCGGGGAGGCGGGAGGGGCTCCCCGCCCGCCTCCGCTCTCCCCGCTGGCGCCCCTCCCCTCCCGCCTGAGCTCCCCTGCCGGGCCGCCCCCCCTCCAGTTCTCCACCTCTCGCCTCGTCGTCGTCGTCATCGTCGTCGTCGCCGCCCTTCTCTCTTGGGGGGAGGAGGAGGAGGAGGAGGAGGAGGAGGAGGAGGAGGAGGAGGAGGAGGAGGAGGAGGAGGAGGAGGAGGAGGAGGAGGAGGAGGAGGAAGGGGAGGAGGACCAGTGTAAACCCAAGAATCACCAACGATGTTGGAATACACCCTCCCTCCGAGCTCCCTCTTCATGGGCCCCTAGAACGGTTCATCTCCATGTTGGGCGTTGTCTGAGTACAGTCGTTTGAAGACCTTGAAGCATGCAAAAATATGGTTCTCGGGGGTTCAACGCCGACGATCCTGAATCGCGCCAGAACGCCATTCCTGGGACTTCAACACCGCGAATTAAAGTAACGGTTGCAACCGTATAATTTTAAAATCGTTCCATAACACAAGTTCTGGTATGTTGATCATGGGATTCCCTGGAACATTTGCAAAGTTTATAAACGGGTGTGCGCGGCACTAGGGCGAGAGCCACATTCTTAAGAGGAACCGCCTTCAATCCGTGAAAGGCGAGAGCCACATTTCGAAAAGGAGCCGCCCTCATCCGTGAATATCTAGCACATGTTGAAAACGAATGTGCGCGGCGGTAAGGCGAGAGCCACATTTTGAAAGGCACTCACCCTCAATCAGTGAAACTTTTGCACATGTTTAAACCAAATGTGCGCGGCCATATTGAAAACCACTCGCTCTGAATCCGTGAAGCTCTTACACACGTAAAGAAACCAATGTGCGCGGCGCTAAGGCGAGAACCACACTTTGAAAACGACCCGCCCTCCATCTGCGAAGCTGTTGCCAACTTTAAGCTTCGGAGTCATCAGTGCTGAGGAAATCGCAGGCGAAACGCCAGGCAAGCCTAAAAACTGGCCTCGGCGTGCGACAGGGAAATGCTATTTGTAAAGAAGCGACATGGAGGAGGATGCTCCGAGGAAGACGAGGAGGAGGAAGACGAGAAGGAGGACGAGGAGGAGGAGGAGGCCCCGAGGAAGCTCCGACGAGGAGGAGGAGGAGGAGGAGGAGGAGGAGGAGGAGGAGGAGGGGAGGAGGAGGGGAGGAGGGAGGGGGAGGAGGAGGAGGAGGGGAGGAGGAGGGGGAGGGGAGGCAGGAAGAGCGGGACCTGTGAGGACTTCCCCGCGCGCGCGGGCAGCCGCGCCACCCCTCCGCCCTCCCGCCGCGCGCGCGGGCCCCCACGTGTGCCTGCCCCCCGCCCCTTCCCCGCGCGCGAGCGCGCATCGGAGGCCACACCCTGGTGGTCGGCGGCGACAAGCGCCCCTTGCCCGTCGGCCGGCCGGCGCCGGAAGGGAGGAGGAGGAGGAGGAGGAGGAGGAGGTGGAGGAGGAGGAGGAGGTGGAGGTGGAGGAGGAGGAGGAGGAGGAGGAGGAGGAGGAGGAGGAGGAGGAGGACGGGGGTCGATGCAAACGGGGGTCAGCCAGAACGCCGGATCTTACAGGATCCTGCGCAGGGCCAGGGGTGCACTCACCCGGGCTTGCGTGCAGGATCATGCAAGAACCTGCAGCTTCCTTCGAAGCCCGACTGACGCGGGTTTGGATTGACCCAGGTCAGTCGATCCCCGAGGGGGGGAGGGAGAAGGAGGTGATCTTCGGCGTGGGGTCGCGTGATCGTCGCGCGCCGCTGGTCCGCTTTCGTCCTCGCTCTCTTGCTCCTGCTGCTGCTCCCTGACGGATTACGCCTGTGTATCACCATGGATTGTGAAGTTACGGTGGAAACCCGTGCCAAGAAACATCCTGCTTGCCTCCAGGGTGCCCTGGGTTTCTTGGGTTTCGATGGTCCTGGGGTGTCAGGGTTGGGCTTCTTGTGGAAGGTTGCTTGTGGTCGAGCTCCCCCAGGAAATATGGGAAAATATGAGACGTGGGGGGGAAGACGAAAACCCAGAAAAGATGAGAACAGATCGGGGATCTCGGGATTGGTGTCTATTTCGTTCTGTGCCCCTGGGCCCCTTCAGAGGGTATGTGGGGGGGGAGGGGCGGATGACGATGACGAGGAGGCACGCGGGCAGAGGAGAGGTCCGCGAGGGGCCGGGGGTGGCCACGGCGCAAGACGGTCGGCCACAGCGAGCCCGCCGGCAGAAAGGGGGACGCTGTGGCGCAGCGTGGCGTCGGGTATGACCAGGACCCCAGGTAAGGGGACCCGGTTAGTGGTAGGGCCCCGGAGCCTTCGAATTGGCCAGAATCACCAAACCAGGTTTGCCATAGCTGGTGTTTTGTCGGGTGACGGCAGTTCCGGTTAGTGGAAATGGGACGGGGGGGCGCCCCCGGTACAGATCATTAAACCAGGTTCCACTAAACCCAGTTCTGCCAACGCCCGATGGCGGGCTAGGGGGGGTAGAGTTAAGGCGGGCCTGTCCCTCTACAGGAAGAATATTCAAAAATAGTCAAACAGTAGTACGGTGACGATTTTTTGACTACTCTTAACCATTTGTGAGTATTTTGTGAGTATGCTTTATTCTTCGTCCAAAATCCGCCTGTAGGGGGACATGCCCGACCTACGGGTAGAGCAACCCACTCCCGGAGGGAACCACGCCACTCGGGGTTGGAAGAGAGAGAGAGAGAGAGAGAGATAAAAAAAACACAAGTGAGAGAGAGAGAGAGACACCATATATATATAGAGAGAGAGAGAGAGAGAGAGAGAGAGAGAGAAAAAAAAAGAGAGAACGCGAGAGAGAGACAGCGGGAGGAGCGTCCCGAAGCAGGTACGCATTCCACCTGCTGCCGTGCGGCATGATCAACAAGTCGTGCAAGGCGCCGTCGCGCGCTCACACGCGCTCGCTTCGGCGAACGACGGATGGCGGACCATCAGCAGTTGCGGAGTGAGCCGACAGGACGGAGATGGGCAGCAGGAGGAGGAGGAGGACGACGACGAAGAGGTGACTCGGAGGAGGTGCGTCAGGGATTGGGAGACGAAGCCCTTGCTGGCTCAAGGCGAGGCCGGTTCAACGAGTCGACATCGACTCTTGCGTTCCTAGCCTCTGCAGGGGTTCGTTTCGTCCATCCCCAGGCCAGGTCATGGGAGACCATGCGCCAGCATGGTTGGTCCGCGTGCAGGGCGACAGCAGTACGTTCACGAAGGAGCAAGTGCAAAGTCTCCGTCGGAACTGCAAGGGCAAAACAAAGAGGTAGACTGAACGAGCACAGGTGTTGAGACCAGGGCCGCCATCACTGATCAACGCGTCGCCAGTATTGAGAATGGTGACGCGTACGCCTATGTTTGAGCGTTCTTTCATCGTCATTCGAGTTTTCTTGCATTAGCGAACTAAGGAACGCCGAGGGGATGGGCACGTTCTCCGCGAGCACACTCATGCGGACCTCATGCGGACCCACTAGGTGAGTTCCGCTTCCACGACCTCAAGAGCCACTACATTCAGGGTCCCCCTCGGCGCCCCTGACATCCATGCGGTCTCCATCTTTCGGCAGGCCCGCCTCGCGGAGGACTCGCTTAGCTACATGGCCAGAAGTTGCTCGTCGCTGCCCAGGCCTCCTCAGTGGGGTCCGAGCAGGCGGGGTCGGAGGATCGCGCCGCATCACCGATGCATCGGCGATGCGGCTCGGCGTGGACTTCGTTGCCCTCTCCTCGCCGACGTCGCCGGTGCATCGGCGATGCGCCTCCACTGCGGCGCGACCCCCCCGCCCCATCTGCTGGGGCTCCACTGGAGGAGGCCCCGAAGCTCGCCAGCGACAGGAGGCTCTCGGTCGCCTCCAGGAGCCTCCGGGCTCCGAAGCCGATGGTGCCTACGACCACCGTTTGTGCTGGGCCAGGGAGCTCGACTTGTACGCTGGGCGGGCTGGCAAGGGGGCGGCCACGCGCGCCGCGGACGTCAGGGAGGACGGGTCGATCTACGGGAGCCCCCTCACGGCCTCGAAGTCGTCGGCAGGGCTTCGGGCAAGGCTGTCTTCGCGAGGCACTGGGTGCCTTCGCTGCAGGCGCCTCGAGAGTCGGGCGGGCGGTGCAGTGGGGGCCCACGCCAAGAAACATCCTGCTCGCCTCCAGGGTGCCCTGGGTTTCTTGGGGTTCGATGGTTCTGCGGTGGAAAGGGTGACGTTTCCACACCATGCATCAATGGACGTAGTTCCTCTCATGTGGAGCCCTGGAGCGTCTTCACAGTTCCGAATCTCAAGGGAGGAGGAGCCACCCGGACCCGATCATTGGCGTTTACTACACGGCCCTGGGCGCTGACTAAACAGCCCTGCCCTTTTGGATTCTTTCTCTGGGCGCATTTACTAAACAGCCCTGCCCTTATAGGGGTGGATTTCTTGACCTCTAGAATCATCAGAGTTGGGGGCGGTCGGGGGTAACTGCAGATTCGCGCCTCGCGGGCCCAAATTGGAGCTACCCTGGACCAAAGTTGTCCTGGATAATTCGGGCGTCCAACCCTCCCGAAGCATCGGGCACCGGGGCAGTCAGGGGTAGCTACGGGTTCGCGCCTCGAGGGTCCAACCTGGAGTTGCCCCAGACCGCAGCGATCCCTGATAATTCGGGCGTCCATCATCTTGAAGAAGGGTACACATCCATCAAATTAATCAAATGTGTGATACTGGGACTTTGGTTCGAAGACCCGTCAGTCAATTTCTAGACTGCCACCAGGAAGGATGTACACTTTTTTTACCAGCCGAAGAGGGGTGCGCCCCGTGGCGACTTAGGGGGGAAGGGGGAAAGCAAAAAGGGGAGGGGAAGAAGAGGAGAAGGCAGCAGCAAAAGCAGCAGTGCACAGCCGGGCTGCGGCTTTGCGCAGCCCGGCGCCGCGCGCCGCGCGGCAAGCCAGCGGACACACAGCAGCCCAGCGGCCCGGCCGCGCCAGGCCGCCGGCGGCGCGCCGCGCCAGACAGCCCTAGGCCGCCGCGGCTGGCCCAGCGGCCAGCGGGGCCGCCGCGGCCCCAGCGGCGGCAGCCTGCAGCATGCGCCCGCGCGCAACGGCGGCCGCCGGCTCGTGCCTGGCGAGCGCCCCAGCCGCCTCCGCGAGCCGAGCCGTGGCCTCGCGGAAGCTGAGGCCCCGCAGGGAGACCTGCAGCAATGACGCTACTTCCCGCGCCATCGCCCAGCCTCCCTCGCGCACGCGGGCGCGCGCCGCGTCCCGCAGCTCCGCGTAGGCGAGCTCGAGGGCGGCCTCGTCGCCGCTCTCCGCGGAGTCCGTGTCAGCGCCAGCGCCGGCCGCTCTCCCCCGCGGCGGGGAGGCGTTCGCGGGCGGCGTGGCGGCGCGCGCCGCCGCTGCGCCGCCGGCGCCGGCCGCCGCCTCCTCGCCCAGGCGCCCGGCGCCGCCTGCGCCAGCCGCAGCCCGGCGGGGCCTCCCGGGCCAAGCGCTGCCGGCCGCGGCCCGTGGCTGCGGCGGCTGGCGTCCAGGCCGCCTCGGCGCGGCTCTCCGGGGCGGGCAGGAAGCCCTCCGAGCCGCCCTCGCCAGCAGCGGGGCCGAGGGGCCGAGGTCCGCCCTGGCAGCGCCGGGGGCGCTCGCCGCGCCCGCGCCCTCGGGGGCGGCAGCCGCGTCCGCGGCGCCGCGGCTGCGGGCCGCCCTCGCCCTGGGGGCGCTCGCCGCGCCGTCGGGAGCGGTGTCCGCGCTCGCGGCGCCGCGGGCCGCTTCCGTCGCGGAAGCGCTCGCCGCGGCGCCGGCCGCGGGGCCGTCCCAGTTGCCGTCCGCTCCCGAGTCGGCGGCTCCGCGGGCCGCCCTTGGGGCGCTCGCCGCGAAGCTCGCCGCAGCCGCCGCCGCAGCAGCGCGGGCCGCTCCCGCAGGGGGGGCGCTCCCCAGGAAGGATGTACACAAGGTGTGAGATCATCGACAGTCAAGCTCCGCCGACCGTGGGGACGAGGTACGTGATTCTATTGTTCTGCCCCTCGCACGCGCTTGAAGCAGCAGATGTGGAACTTGCAAGTGCATGAGAGATGTAGCGGGCTTGTTGACCGACGCGGTCTTCATGTGTGAAATTCTTCGTTGCGGTCTTCTTGAGATGGCCACGTTGCAGGGCGGTCTTTGCTGGAAGCCGGGTCCCCTGAATGTCTTAGCGTCCGTCAGTCAAATGGGCTACATTCTGCACAAGGCCTGCTTCTCCGTAGTGGGCGAAACCTGCGTGCTAAATCTACCGTGGTGTGCGAGACGATGTTGCTTGGAAGCTAGTTTGGTAAACATGCATCTTTATGTTCCTTACAGTAGCGAACGCAGGCAAACTCTACCACTGAGTCAGCGTGTGCCATGTCACATCGAGTCGAGGTTGCGGGCATGGGCTGGGAGTTGGGGGCCGCCCATGTTGCAGAGTTATGTGGCGTGGCACGTCGCCCGCGCGATATTGCAGGACATGCTAACATGTGAGGTGGAATGCTTAGGAGTTGTGCTCCAGATGCGCTTGCGGCCGTCAGAAGGGGCAGCGTTCACTTTGTTATCCGTACCGCATACACGTTGCGAGAATTGTACAACATTGATGCAATTGGCGATTGTATTCGCAAGGCTCCCGAAGCCATGTTGAAGTCTGCACGGCGCGAACAACATGCACAAATGTAATAGCCTGGCTCCACTGAGATGGGCGCAGGAGCAGCCGTGCCAAGCAGAATGACTAACGATTCCAGGAGGTAATTCGGGGCACGAACGTCGCAGCCATGGTGGGGTATAAGCCTCGTCGGGGCACAACGCGGTCTGGAACTGGAGGTCCTTACAGTGTCTTGGCCGCATTGGTGGTCCCGTATCCGAGAATGCGGACGATCATAATAATCGGGCGCGCCATTGCAACCGTTTCGTCCATGCAGTATTCTAACATTACCACTTCAAGCCAGCGGTTTTTTAAATCTTAGTTTTGTGGCTCGCCCCAGCGCCGCGCTTCAAACTCTATACGACAACCCAGAGTTTAAAATCCTTGTTGTTTTAAACCCTTGTTTTTGTTCCAACTCCCTGTATATGTGTGGATCTCTTTCTAAATATATAGGTATATCCGCATCTGTCTGTTTATCCCCTTATCCCGCCGATCCTTCTCCTACTTCTTTCCTTGTCCTTACATCCATATGTATTTTTACCTCTAGCCATATTTCCCTACCATTGTCCCTGCCCCGATCCCCCCCATGGTGGTCCCCCGTAGTGGCCCCCCATCGTAGCTGCGTAAGGCTGTTTAGGGTATGTGGTGAAGGAGGACGCGGAGGAAGAGGAGGAGGAGGAGGAGGAGGAGCAGGAGGACACCCTCTTCATCACCGCCTCCCCATCCACATGGGCATTCTCTTTTCCTATCCCGTCTCCGTCTGATTCGTGTTCTTGTTGCTGCGCGTTCTCCAGCTGTGCCCACCTGGGTCGTAACTGCCGGCTTCAGCGCGTAATTCATGACGTTTTTCTGTTCTACTGTGCACACGTCAGGAATCCGGTCGATCTAGATTTGCCTGGCGTCCGGCAGAAGATGGGGGAGGGGGACGAGGACTTTGGTGGGAAGAGTGGGATCCGTCGGGGAGTGGCCCCTGGGCGAAGTCCAGGCGACACGCGGCAGGGCCGCGGGCACGCACGCGCAAGACAGCCCAGGATGTTTCTGTCGCAACCGCGTGGATCGTCGTCGATCGACGATCGACGATCGACGACGACGATCGTCGACGACGATCGACGACAACGATCGACGACGACGATCCACGACGATGGTCCACGACGATCGACGAAAGCGCAGGCGGCGAGTCACGGAACGGGCGGGCCGCGCGCGAACCGAATTGCCGAACGCGCCAGCAAAAACAGAGGCCTAGGCGGCAACTCGGATCACCGGAGACAGCCCCAGGGATACGCGACGCGTACAACACATGTTGTCGGCAGCTTTCTGGGGTCCTCTGGAAGCGAGTATCGTTCAAGAGTGATTGGCCCTCGCAGTGTCAGAGTGGATCCATCTTTGCTGTTATCCGTTTGCGAGAACGGGCGTGATTGGGGGAAGGGGGAGGAGTGGGCGATCACGTCACGATTCGCACCTGCGCCGTCTGGGGATGCCTAGGATGGCTGATTCCCAGACGGCACCGGCGCGAATTGTGACGTGGCCAGGAGGCGGGGCCCGTCATCATGGGCGTTGTCGCGAGTAATGCACAAACGACTAAGCTCGTGCCCGAGTTGTCGAGACTGGCCAAGATCTGTTGGCGCGATCAGCTTCAGCTCGACACCGATCCCTGGACCACTCCTGGCATGACCTCCAAAACCAGTGAGAGTCAAATTCTTGCACGACCTGTGCTGGAGTAGCCCATGGTTCTAGGTATCAAGTGACGCTGCCGTGCGATTCCGCCACCGTCCTCGGGCGGGCGCCCAGGAAGGGGGTGGGCAAGCAATTGAGGGGGGGTCGGGGTCCACTGAGCGCTCCTCTCCTGGGGACATGTTCTTATTGGAAGGGCAAAAACGCAGGGACCTGGGTCATACGAGTGAGCGAATCCTGGGCTCGATGCGGCGGGGGGGCCCAACTATCGCTGCGCAGGGAGCGAGAAGGCCCGACACACACCTACCGCTGCAATCGCGGTGGCGGACATCTTCGAGGGGCCGGCCCCAGGCTCGCGCGAGAGCGCTACCCTGGCCCTGGATGGGAGGCGTGCGGTAGTTCCTCGGAGGAGGGGGAGGAGAAAGGAGGAGGAGGAGGAGGAGGAGGAGGAGGAGGAGGAGGAGGAGGAGGAGGAGGAGGGGGGGATTGCATCGGGGGCAGCATCGACTCCCAATCGCCCCTTCGTCGCCAGTCGGGGCCCGGCCCCCTCACCCCGCCCAAGGACGCGGGGGGCGTTGTTCTCGGAGGCCTACTCGCCGATCTATATCAGGAGGGGCAAGAACACACAGACACAATTAATCGTCCACTCCCGAGAAAATATACATAGGAAAATATGGGAAGTGAGGGGGAAGACAGAAACCCTGAAAATATGGGAAAATATGGGAAAATCCGTCTTTTTGTGTGTATTTATTTGTGTGTCCCAGGGCCCCTTCACTATATCGGTTACCTATCGCCGATTCCAGGTCAATGTCTCCCCCTCCGAGCCAGCCCCCCCCCCCTAGAGGAGGAAAAGGTGTCTCTACCTCCACCCTTCCCCCTCGCTTTCCCCTTGTTGTGCCTCCTGGGAGGTCCTCGTTGTCACCGCTGGATTCGCCTCGAAATCCTGGTCGGAACGCACCCCGCGAGAGGTCCCGCATGCCAAGAGACCCCTTGCTTGCCTCCAGGGTGCCCTGGTTTTCTGGGGCTTCGGTGATTCTGCTATTGCAAAGCGTGACGCTCCCACACCAGAAAAATAAATGGACGTGCTGGGGTCTCAGGGTCGGGTGTCTTGTGAACGGTTCCTTATGGTCGAGCTCCTACTGTGGCGGTATCGGTACCCACCCCCGTCGACCTCCCTCGTCGCTCTCGGTTCGTCAGAGCCCTCGGAGGCACGAGAGGCATTGCCCGCGCGCGCGCGCCAGAACCTCATCGGCAACGGTGTGGTGGCACTCCCAGCAGGGCGGGACTCCCGATCAGGGGGAGGAGGGGAAGTGGAAGGAGGAGGGCCAGGAGGACAGAGTAAGCCCAAGATGCATTAACGATGCTGCAATACACTCTCCCATCCCAAGTTTCCACCCGATGGGCCATCAATTCAGGCGAGAACCTCGTTCTGAAAAGGCGTTGCCTTGCACCCTTCCGGCGAATTGCTTGGAATGCGAAACCGAGGTGTCCAACGAGAACCTTGCTTCGAAAAAGAACGGTCCATCATGTGTACAGTTGTTTGCTCCATCGAGAGCCACCCTTTGAAACGGAACCGTTCTCATCCCGTGCAGCAGGTACATTGTTTCCGTTTTATTGGTCTAGACATTTCAGGAGGTTCCCAGCGATAGCCCCATTGTGAAAAGAGGAGCCGCCCTCCGGCTGCAAACTTTTAGGCGAATGTGCGCAGCGGCGAGAATCTCGTGAAACGAATCGAGCTCAATCTTCGAAAGTGATGCCAATGTGTAGAATTCGAGTGTGCGGAGCGCTAAGGCTAGAGCCGCATTTGAAGATTGGCCCTTCATCGTTCGTAGTAAGCTTCTCAAGCGCTTAAAACGAATGTGGTTAACAGAAGGCGACTTTGGAAACGTGCGCCTTCCATCCTTGAAGCAGTTGCAACTTTCAAAACGAAGGGGTGCGGCGCGAAGGCGAGAACCTCAGGCTGAAAATGATTGTCCTTTCAGTTTGAAGCCGTTGCGCTCTTTCAAGACGAATGCGCGCGGCGCCAGGGCGAGAGGCACATGTTGAAATTTTTGAATCATGCGTCCTGGAGTGTATAGAGGGACCTCGGTTTAAGCTTTAAGCCACGGCCCCTCTATCCTCGAAGCTAGTTTTTTTCTGCCTCAGGATCGTCAGTTGCAAATCAGTCTACACACGTCTGGTGGTGCGAGAGGGGGGGAGTTTGTTTGTTGCCAAGAAGGGGGATGTGAGGATGGCGGGGGAAGGGAGGGGAGGAAACGGAGGAGGAGGAGGAGGAGGAGGAGGAGGAGGAGGAGGAGGAGATGGTGGGCCGACGTTGACTTCTGCCTCTTCTGGGCCACGCGAGGACGCGGCTGGACGAGCCGGTCGGGGTGGCATCTGGGAAAGGCCCGAGGGGGCAGCTTTCGGTGGAAGAGGGACGTCCGAGCCAGACATCCCCACTCCTGGCGCCCGGAGGGGGGAAGGTGATGACTAGGGGGGGGGGGGATATCATGGCGGGGGCCATGATATTTCCCCAGATCTCATGGCGCCTCTTCTTGTTTCATTACGTCCCTGGCCCCCCCACTGGGCCGCGCACATGCCGCCGGTCATGATTTGCACCCCCTCCTCTTGGACACCCCCCTCTTGGCCGCTCCCGACAGACATCCCCACGCCCGGCGCCCGGAGGGGGGGGAGGGTGCTGGGAGCACGGCCGGTGCTCCCCGAGGTCCGGGGGCAGAGCATGCGCGGGCGGGGTGGAGCCTGCCGCGACCTGCCTTGTGCACGGCGGGCGCTCCCCGAGGTCCTTGGCATCGCTCTGACGTGTGCATTTTTTCCTCGGCGGGGACCATCGAGGAGCATCCTTGATCATTTGGCGAAAAGGCCACGCACGAAACCGGAAAAAAACACAGGGAATGGACGTCCGAGCGATGGCCAGGGTCTGGAACGGAACGCGCCGGAAATGGGCCAGCCTCGATGGGCCATCGGCTGGCGCAGGTGCACGGCGGGTGCCCTCCCGAAGTCTGGGGCGGAACGCGCGCGGCCTGAGCAAAGCTGGGGGGGAAGACAAAAACCCAGAAAATATGGGAAAACATTTGGGATCCTGTTACTTTTGTGTATTTATTTGGTTGTCCTAGGGCCCCTTCAATCTGTTTCATTCCGGTCGGAGAACGTACATTTTCCCGGAACGGGCTCCGGCCCAGGGTTCTCTTTTGGAGGCGTGCCCCCTGAATCGGCTCGAGGTGGGCCGGCGAATTCCTCTTTCCTATAAACAGCTACTAAAGTGTGGGCTGGCAAATGAAAATCTCGAGGGTGTCCCTGGCGAAAAGCTTGTTTTACACATGTGCTGAGGATGTCTCAGGCGAAATGCTGGTCTGGCAGAGTTGGGGAGTGTCTCGAGCGGGGGCCTCGTCGGGGGCCCGATCTCAGATGTCCTCCTGGTACCGCGCTGGGGCCACGGCGATGTTGGCCTCTGGAGTTTTTTGTTGTTCGGGAGGCCTCTTGGGGCGCTCCTGGGGCTCTCCTGGGCCCGACTTGGGCCCATCTTCGGGCGCCTTGGAGCACTCGTGGCCTCGGCAGCGCGGCACACGGCGTGATTTGCGAGCGAGTGTGGCTGCGGGGGCGCGAGTGCGGTGTAGCTTACAAGGGCTTGCCGTTTCGGGGGCGCAAGAATAGCGTACGTGGCGACGGTTTGTGGCTTCGGGGACTCGAACACTGTGCATTTCCAGGTGGATGGTTGCCTCGGGGGCGCGAATCTGGTGTATTCTCAAATGCTCCACGCCCTCCCGGGAATTCACATCACGCGATCTGGGCAAGGTCAATTGGGTGGTTTGGGGCTCCCCCCATTCGCTCGGACTTTAGCAATTCAATAGGAAGCAGAATGCAGGACTGTATCAATGGAGACTTGAAGTTGCAACTGGCGCAGGGAGCAGCAACTTCGGCCTACAGCCTGGTGGCCCAGAAGGGGGCTCGCGGATTCCTCCAGCTCCGACTATGTTCAGGACGCTGGGAGATCCTGGCGCACCACTCGGGCAACCGCAACCTGCACCCTTGCAGGTCCGTGCTGGTGCAGATCCAGCTGCCCCTTCGCAAGACCCCAGTCGGAACTTGGCCCGCCTCGCCAGCGCCCGGGCGACCGCATCTTGTCTTGAGCGCCGCGCCCGTAGGTTTGTGTTTTTGGTTCCGCGGCCGCCATACCCCCCCCCCACCTTCGTTTCTGTGCAGATTCGCTGTTTGGCATCCCCACTTAGATCTTCCGACCTTTGCGAAGAGCACCGAGCCCGCGGCAAACAAAGGTCCAGGACGTTGAAGGGCTGGGTCGTCGTTCCCCCCCCCGTCGCCTCCTCAGCTCCTCCTTAGGTGGTCCACGTCCCCACGCTCATGAAGGAGCTCGACGCGCTCAAGGCCAGTGCCTCCCGCGCCCCGCTGCGCCAGCCTGTGGCGCAGCCAGACCTCAGCCGATGGCCAGGATCTAGGCCTCCTGGATGGGGTCGGAGTAGATGGGGGCGGAGTATCTCGCCACATCGCCGATGCATCGGCGATGCATCGGCGATGCTGCGATGCTGCTCTATGTGGGGCCCAGTTCTCTCCACGCCGACGTTGCCGATGCACCGCCGACGTCAGCGCGATTCTCCGGGCCAATCTGCTCCGACCCCATCTAAGGAGGCCTCAACATGAAGGAAAGGATCCTTCCACGGGTCGAGGAACTCTCAGAAAACTCTTCGGCACGAGTGCCTTGCTCTCGGGGCGAGCCCCGGTGTCCAGGACCCGCTTCCGTCAAGACGCGATTCTTCCATGCCACGGGGAAAGTACTGGAGTTGTGTTTGCCCGCTTTCAGCGCCACGGGGGACGGGGTGCTTTTCGGCCGCGGAGGCCGTGAAGCAGGCGAGTCTCTGAATGGAGCGTCGGCCCCGAAGAAGGGCTCGAGAGTTCGGCGCGGAATAATGGGGTCGTCGGAGGTCTCGGGAAAGGGAGGGGCAGGACCGAAGGGGGATAGGGAACATGATTGCGGAAGAAGAGAAGGAGGAGGAGGAGGAAGAGGAGGAGGAGGAGGACGACGAAGAGGAGGAGGAGGAGGACGAGGACCTCCGTAGCCATTTTGGCTCAAGGGGCCTGCTCCTGAACGTCCAACCTCGCTCGAGCGGTTGTGGCGTGTCAGGGTCTGTCTCCACGAGCAGTGCGGCCTGAGGTTCGCGTCTTCCCCAGCTTCTTCGCGCGAGGGGCCTGACATGTCGGACCGGTCGTGCAGACAGTGCGATATATCACATTACGGTTTCAGAACGGAGCGCAGACAGGCGGGGTGCTACGGGCAAGGGCCCAAAGGCGCCTCCAAAGTTCCCGATCCTCCTCCTCCTCCTCCTCCTCCTCCTCCTCCTCCTCCTCCTCCTCCTCCTCCTCCGTCGGCTCTCTGGCCTGGTGGGGCATCGCCTCGCGGGGCATCGCTGGCCGTCCATGTACCTCCCCGTCGACGGGGCAGGGACGCTGCTGGGGGCGGAGGGCGCGGGGCAGGAGGAGCAGCCCAGCAGCAGCAGCAGACGGCCTCGGAGGAGCGGCGAGCGAACGTGTGGCCTGCTAGGTCCGAGGAGGACTTCAGTGCTGCCGCGGCCGCTCTGTCTCAGCCTGGCGGCGTGCCAGCGGTGTCGGCAGCATCATCTCTGTCAAGGAGGCCATTTCGGCGCAGCAGGCGATCGGTGCCAAGGCCGTCGAGCTGCAGAGGGCCACGAACCAGATGGAGCGTAAGGAGAACGAGGCGGCCAAGGTCGCGGGTGAGTACACACCAGCCAAGACCAAGACCGCCGAGCTGGAGCAGGAGCTGCAGGAGCTGCTTGCCGAGACGAAAGCTCTGGCCGCTCGCGGTCCACCGATGTTCCCGAGGTGGCCGGCCGCTGCTTGTGATGTGGCCGCGGTGCTCACAGGACATCCAGGATGGGAAGGTCCAGTGTTAAGTCTGGCCTGTCCCCCTACAGGGGGATTCTCGAGGACAAATTAGAAAATACAAAGAAAATAGTCCACAAATAGTCCGGGGACTATTTTTTGAGTACTTTGTTCGACCTTTCGGGAGTATTTTTGGGGTATTTTTTATTTTTCGTCAAAACTCCCCCTGTAGGGGGACACGCCCGACATAAGTCAAGTGGGCGTCGCGATGACGGCCCCGCTCAAGATGCTGCTGCAGGCGCTGGTGCCAGCACCCCCCGCGTCCGCGGCCTGTGCGGCTGAGGCGGTGGCTGGCGGCATCGCCGAGCCCACGGTGGCAACGGCGGGGGCCGTGCAGTCGGCAGCAATGCCTGCGGGGCAGCCGGCAGCGATGCTACTGCGTCGGCGGTGGACGTGCCCGTGCCGCATGCGCAGCCGCTGGTGGGATAGTCGCCACCGCTGGTCGATACAGACTGGAACGTCATTGTGGCCATGGCCGAGTGCACGGATGTGACGCTGGAGGAAGCAGACAAGAGAGTATCTCAAGCACTTGCATGCCACGACGATTGAGCAGCAGCACCCACGTGGGTAGCAGCCCGCAGGCGAAGGATGTCAGGTCGTGGTCGGTGTTGACGTTGAATGTGAACGTGGTCACTACCTCCGTGGACATGCAGGCGTCTGATGATGATGAGACGAATTGCGTGTTGTCCGAAACGGTTGCTGCGATAATGGTGCAGGGGACTTATTTGGCGGCGCTGGCGTGTCATGAGGAGTCGAGTCGCATGTTGCAGTTTGGGTTGGAAGCTCTCTTCGCACCAGCAGCTGATTGTATCCATGGGCGCCGTAAGAGCTCTTGTCAGGCATCTTTTCGGAGCGATCTCGGAGGACCTCCAAGATGGCCCAAGAAGAGAAATGATTGAAGCAAACATGCTTGTTTTCTACAGTTTTAACTCAGATCGTTTCGCTCGAGACATCCTCAAACAGTTGCATTCGGACGGGTCCTCGAAGGCAAAATTACTGAACAATCCATGGGTTTTCAACAGTTATGTGAAACACAACGCGTTTCGCTCGAGACATCCTCCAAGAGCATCTGAACTCGCGCGGGTAGTGAATTCCAGCAGATATATCTTTGTGGGCGTTCGGGGCCAGCGCGACGTCCAAACTCGTTCGGGTAGTGAACTCCACCTGGGATATTATGTGGACGTTCGGGGTGAGTTGTGAATGAGATTGCGCGGATGGTGATTACATTTGGTATCCTTTGTGGACGTTCGGGGTGAGCTTCGCGTCGGAATTTGCGCGGATCGTGAATTCTATCTGGTTTTTGTTCGCGGACGTTCGGGGTCAGCGGCCCGCTTGAATTTGCGCGAACTTGCGCGGGTAGCGAAGTCCGCCTAGTACCCCCTGTGGACGTTCGGGAAGAGCGCCTACGCGACATGCGAACTTGATGTTGGTGCACGTTCTTTCCAAGTTCTTTGGTTTCATGCGCTTCCCGCTCATGTCAACAAAGGTCAGCTCGACAGACCAGTACGGCAGACTAGCCCGGCAGGCCATCGCAATGAACCGACAGCGTGTGTCTAATGTGTAGTGTTGCGTTTCTAGGTGTCGTTGACGTTTTGTACCATACGTTCTCTGACACGTTCGGTGGACAAAAAACGGCGCTTCCGTTCTTGTCCGGTCATGTTTGGCTCGATATTGCCCAAAGCCCTCCTAATCGGGCTTGACCACCGTCAATGAATCGTTCTGACCAGGACTTTCCAGGAGTTGCTGACATTCCTCTTTTTGGAGGGACAAAGAGGTAGCAATAACGCTACCCGCCAGATCTCTCCCGGGGTGCGTTCAAGCCAGATTAACATAGGAATCCAGCCATGGTGACAAGGACCCGCAGCGGTATTGGCATGTTTTCCCCTCTGACCTTTTTCCGTCTCTTTGTTATCCTTTTCCGTCGTCTTCCCCCTCCTCAATTGTTCGTCGGCACTTCCTGCAGGTGTCCTCCCCATCTTACTATTTAACCCGCGGCTAACCCCGCGCCCCATGCATCGACGCGCTTGCGCAACGCAGCCGGTGTCCGCCTTCACCTCCCTGCCAATATTCTTCGTCATCGTCGGGCGACGGGGTTTGTACTTGTCTACCTCCAGTGGCCAGGCCAATCTTGGGCCCATGATCTTATAGACTCTGGAAGGAAGGTCTACCCTAAGCCTACCTCTGGGGCCTACCCCTAGGGCTACCATGGGCCTACCCCTAGGGCTTCCCTAGGGCTAGCCCTGGGGCCTACCCCTACGGCTACCCTAGAACTACACTTGGTGCCGACCCTAGAACTATCCCTACGGCCTACCTTTAGGGCTACCCTAGGGCTACCCCTGAGGCCTACCCCTTGGGCTACCCTAAGCCTACCACTAGGGCCTACCCCTAGGCCTACCCCTAGGGCGTACCCCAAGGGCCTACCCCATAGGGCCTACACCTAGGCCCCCAGGGCCTACCCGCGCATAGCCACCTTGGCCGGAGGAGAAGCGCGAGGCGGGAGGAGGAGGAGGAGGCGGCAGAGGAGGAGGGAGAGGATGGAGGAGGAGGGAGGGGGGGGGGAGGACGAGGGAGGGGGAGGAGGGGGGAGGGCGGTGGGAGGAGGCGGACGAGGAGAGAGGAGAAGGTGGAGAGGAGGGAGGTTGGAGGTGGGAGAAGAGGGGGGGAGGAGAAAATGGGAGGAGGAGGAGGAGGAGGAGTCAATCTCGCATTGCTGCCTCACTATTCTGTCGATTTCCGCCAGTTCGACTTTTTTCGACTCGGCTGCCAATTTCCACCGATCGGACTCACTTCGATCGCCGATCCGACTTATCGATTCGATCCTGGGCTCTCCTGGGCTTGGGGTGTCGAGACCGCCCCGAGCTCCTCGGGGGGCCCGTTGACTCGGGAGGCCCGTCGAGGCCAGCTGGGACTACCCGAGGAGTGGTTTGCGCGCTACCCGAGGCCTCACCTCCTCCTCCTCCTCCTCCTCCTCCTCCTCCTCCTCCTCCTCCTCCTCCTCCTCCTCCCCCTCTTCCTCCCCCTCCTCCTCCTCCTCCCTCGCGCGAGCACGCGGCCGCCTGCCAGAGGTAAGTCGGGCGTGTCCCTCTACAGGAGGACTCATCCCAAAAAGTAAGAGATAGTCTGGTGACGATTCTTCTACTATTTTGACTATTTGGGAATATATGCTTGGTGTAATGTTTCATGTTTCTTCCCCACCTCTAGGAGAACATGCCCGACCTAATGCCAGAGCGAGACAGTGCGTTGGGTTCTTCTTTCTGTGAAGGGGCCTTGGGACACAACAGTAAATACACACACATGAAACGATTCCCCATGTTTTCCCACATGTTCTGGGTTTTTGTCTCCCCCCCCACTTCCCATAGTTTCCCATACGTTCTGGAGAATCGCCGCTTGCTTGTGTCTGTGTGTTTCTTTCCCTCCTGATACTGGTCGTCCCTACCCCCCCCGCCGCCCAGCACTTCGACCCGCGCGCCATGGAGCGGGTGTTCATCTCCACCCGGGCGCACCTGCTCTTCGACAGCCACCAGATCATCGACGGCACGCGCCCCTCCCCCGAGACGTAGAGGAACCGACTTCGTGTAACACATACAGTCTGCGAGTTTTCACGCTGCCATTCGAGGAAGCTTTCTCCTTGTAATCTGAGCACTAATTCGCGCTCAAGACATTCTGCGAGTTTTCACGCGGATATTCGAGGAAGCTTTCTCTTCGTAATCTGAGCGCTAATTCGCGCTCAAGAGCTCTACGAGGGTTCCGGCGGTAACCTGAGTTTTCACGCTGATATTCGAGGAAGTTTTCTCCTCGTAGTCTGAGCACTCATTCGCGCTCCAGAGCTCTACGAGGGTCCCAGCAGTGACCTGCTCGACGGTTTGCCGCCGGCTCCCACTGGCCCGCCCGGCCCGGGCGGACAATGTGGGAACTTTGGGTCGGCTCGGCGAACATACCTCGCAGAGCTCTCCCCCCCCCTTGCCCGCGGGGCGACAGCGCTCCGGCTCAAACGCCGCCGCCGCCTCCGCGCCGTCTCCCGCGCCGGACGGGGCGGCGCCCTCCGCGCACTCCGCCCCTGCGGGCACGCGGCCGCCGCCACCTCCGCCCCGCCGACACCCTCGCGCCGCGGGTCGTCTCACTGAGCGTGGTCTTCCCGTCTGGACGTGCACGTGCCGCTCGTGAGGTTCTCTGTGCGCAGCGTTCTTGCGGGCAATATTTGTATCCATATCCAGTGCGTCTTGGACTTTCTTGGAAGGGGCGCCGCAAGGCCGAGGCGCACTGGATATGGATAAACATTGAGCCTTTTGGAAGCAGATTCTAATCCATATCCAGTGCGCTTCATGTTTCTTGGGAAGAGAGTCCGAAACTCCAAGACGCACTGGATGTGGATATAGACATTGCCCGCAGTTCTGCCCGCGGCCGATCGCTCCGCCCTGGGCCGACCGGCAGAGTCGTGGCCCCCGCGTATTGGCGAGATCACGGCGGGAGGCTTCTGTCCGAACTTAACCTCCGGGGAGCCCACGCGGGCCCCCCGCGACCGTCGAGGGACGAATCTCAAGGGGCCCAAGGACACACAAAGAAATACACACGAATAACATGATTGTTCCATATTTCCCAATATTTTCTGGGTTTTTGTCTTTCCCCCAATTCCCATGGTTTCCCACACTTTTCGGGGAATCGACGATTCATTGTGTCTGTGTGTTTCTTTCCCTCCTGAGAATCGGGATGAGAAGGCGGTGCCCGGCAAGAGGGCCAGACTTCTGGGGAGCCACGCTGCCGTGACGGAGTGCGGACTTCGGAGTGCCCAGGCCGGCGGGTGCCCTCCAGTCTGGGAATCTGGGGGACGGACGTCCTGAGGAGGTTCCTCCGCTCCCGGTCTCCAGGGCCCTCCAGGGGCCCGGGGACCTTCCAGAAGAAGTACCCCAGATTTCGTAATAAAAGAGAGGGGGTCTGGACCCTCCAAGACAAGCCATTTCAGACGCCCCCCGTGGGAGAACCCTCCAAAACATCGTCCCCAGACCCCCCCAGGCCCTCCAAGATGGCCTGGAAGAGACCCCCCCCCGAAATGAGACCCCCTCCTTTTTATTACGAAATCTGGAGTACTTTGTATCGAGATCTGGTCCCTGCAGAAGGGCGGCCACGCGCAGGAGGGGGTTGGGGGAAGGGGTGGGCCGTCTTCAAACCCTCTGGGGGGGCCCTTGGGGCGATCTCGGGGGCCGATCGGGCCGTCTTGAACGCTACCCAGAAAACGGATGTGCTAAAAATATACACTTCCCTAAGGACATTTCCCTAAGGAGAATGGGGCGATGTTTGCTTCTTCGGGGCTCTTTTATCGGCCTCTTGAGGTGCTTTGGGGGCCTCTTGGGCCGTCGTCAGACCATCGCGTTTCCTCTTGAATCGCTCTTGTGCTGTCTTGAGTCTCTTGTGCCTCTCCTCCGATGACCCCTCCGATCGCCTTGAGTCTGCTCGCAAGGCCCGGCAAGCCGCCCTGGGAAGCCCGGAAGGGCCAGCGGACCTTTTCCAGAGGCGTCCACGGGTCCGCCGACACGTCCGAATGGGCGTCCAGGGCGTCCATGCGGGGGGGGTCCGGTTTAGGGGTAATGAAATATAGGTGTGTATATATACATACGTGACTACACTTGTGTATGTATGTATGTATGTATGTGTGTATATATATATAAACAGAAAAATATGAGGGGAACATGGAACCGATACCACTACCCTTCCCTCGTTTTCGCTTTTTGGGGGCCTCCTGGGAGGCCCGCGTCGCCACCACTGGATTCGCCTCGAAATTCTGGTCAGAATGCACCCTGGGAGAGGTCCGGGGAGTAGCGGTATCGGTACCTCTTGGTTCCCCCCAGTCTGTGTGTATGACGATATTCAAAGTCGCACGAACGCACCTTAAAACAGTTCTCCGGACGCCCGGCGAAAAAATCGAAGCCGCTGAGATCGGTGGTCCCCCTCCCCATCGCCGCGCCCCATCGTGTTTCGGGCATTCTGCCGCAAGGGTGCGATTTCTATCGTGGCCCGAGCGTCCCGACCTCTGCCGGGGGGAAGCGGTGATCACAGCCCGCCCAGGTGACAAAGTCGTCGGGAAGTGGAGGCCCCGCCCACGTCTGTTGAGTCGGGCATGTCCGGCTACAGGAGGAAGAATCAGAAAGAGTCACAAAGTAGTCTGGGGCTGATGTTTCGATTATTTTTTGTTTGTTTTTGAGGATTGTATCGTTTGACTATTGCGAAGGCCTAACGGCCTGTGCCGTCGACCCTGAAGACGACAAAAATGAAAACGAGCGGGAGGGGGGGGTAGGAGGCGGAGGAGGAGGCGGAGGAGGAGGAGGAGGAGGAGGAGAAGGAGGAGGAGGAGGAGGAGCGGGGGAATTTTAGATTGTTTCTGAGGATTGTATCGTTTGACTATTTTCTGATGGCTCGTCCAAAACAAATCCGCCCGTGAGGAGGACGTGCCCGACCTAACACTTCTCTGGCCGACGGCGCCACTCCGCCAAGCGGGCGCCTGAGCGTACGCCTCGGCGCGCGCGCTGGGAGGGCGCGAAAGTCGCCTGGGTATAGCTCAACTGGGCCGGAGTACACGGGACGTCGCTGATGCGCAACGCGACGTGGAACCCGATCCTCAGAGCGTGAATTATCTACCCCGCTTTCGCTTCCAGGCAAAACCAAGTCACACCACGCGCCTCCTCGTCAAGCGGCCTGATCAGTACAGGCCGTAGTTTGCCATCGCTTGGTATCGCTTGGAAGCGAGGGTGGTCAAACGCGAGGTAGGTTTGTTTGCCCCCTAGATCCCTTCCATCCCGACAGTTCCGATTCGCTGGCGACGCGGTGCGATGTTCGCGGGGGCATTTGTGTTCTCCAGCACATTCATGAGGTTCCGTAGAGGTGTGCGACGTGTGGGTGTTCGGCGCTGCGTTCTGGAGGAGAAGGATTATCTCCGCTGTGCATTGATGATGGGAGGAGAATGGCGAGAGTGATATTGAGGCGAAGAGGGGGAGGAAGACGCACGGGATGGCGCGGCATGGGAAATGGAGGATGAGGGAGGGGGATGGGTCCAATGTGAAGGACAGGAGGGGACGTGCGAGGGGGATGTGCAGATGAAGGGAATGATGCGGCGGAGGGGGATGGAATGGAAGAGTAAATGGCGGACGACATTGAAGGGACGGATGCAACTGAGGAATCTCTGAATCTGTAGTTGTCTGTGATGAGGAGCATGACGAGGGGGTGGGGGAAGAGGACGAGTAAGAACCGGAAGGAAGGCTGAGAGGGGGAAGGACGAGGGGCACGAATGGAGGGTGCGGAAGAGGAGATGGTTCGGAAGGAAGGAGGAGTAGCAGGATGGATTGAGGGTGTCACGATAGAGGAGGGGAGGAGTGAAGAGTGGGACACGGATGAGGGCGGTGGGGTGGTTGGAGAGGGAATTGGGGGATGGTTTCAGGGCATGTGAGGAGGAGGGGCGAGAGTCGAGGATTGGGGTAGGATATTGGAGGGAGGATGGAGGGTGTTGGAAGGAGCGGGGAGGAAGAATTGAGGAGGAGGAGGAGGAGGAGGAGGAGGAGGGACGACCTTGATCCGATCTCTGTTTGGGGCCTCCTGGAGTTCCTCATAGCCGCGCCTAGCAACACCGCGCACAACTGGTCCGGATCATGTTTGGGAGGAGTGCGGCCTCCCTTTCGCCCTGAATTCTTCCCTTCTCTTCCCGCCACCCTGCCCCCTGTCCGCCCCTCGTCCTCCGCAGCCGCGCCTTCTTCCAGCGCTCTCGCGCATGTCGCACCTCCGCGTCTCCCTGCGACTCCAGGGCAGCCTCGGATTCGCGGCGCATGCCCCCCTCGTTGCCCTTGACCATCGAGGGTCCCTGGTTCCTTTTGCGGAGGCCACTGAGTTTGCTCGCCCTCCTCGTTCTCCGCACACGCCTCCTCGTTCTCCGCCCCCACCCCCTTTTCTGCATGCACGCTGAGGGCAGCGGCGTGTCTCCAGCCACGACCACGCTCCCTTTCACGGGCCTGTCCTCCGCATGCATTTCGTCCCCCGCCGGAGGGGCACGATGTATACACCACGGCGCCGGGTCGGCCAAGGAGCCAGTGAGCTCGGCGGAGGAGCTCGGTGTGTGGACGCTCCAGCATCCCACAGGTTGTTGGGAATGTGGGGCGAATCTATACACTTAGCCCCTTGGCCGACCAGACCAGTCGGTGTGTCCTCTCTCGCCCTCCCCCCGACCAGAGCTCGCTCAAAACCCACCCGTAGACCCCGCTCCAGCCTCTCCTGACCCAGTGGTCGAGCCGCGCCCAGGGACGCAAGCGCGGAGGGGGCACCCGTCGAAGGCGGGGAGTCAGAACCCCCCCCTCCCTCTGTCTGAGCACCCCCAGAAACCGAACTCCCACTCCGCCAGCCTCCACCCCTTCGCCCTCACCCTCCTCGTCCTTGTCCTCGCCGCGCGCGCGCACGAGCACCGCGAGCACACCCCGAGTCAAGCAGTGGCGAAGCGTTCTGGTTCGCCTACAGCCCTACCAAACAATGTTCTAAGAACCTTTTGTGGTTCCCACGAAATGTTTTTAGAACATTTCTGGCTGGGACTGTCTCGTTTTAATACATCGGCTCTATGTTCTAAGGACATTGCTTTTGTTATTAGAACATTTTGGGGTTCTATGAACAATTCGTGGTATGACTATCGGCATGCCGGGACGGTCGGTCCCTGCTCAACTGAGGGGGCGGCTGCGCGCCTCAGGCATCCTGGAGGTCGAGGCGGGCACCGCCTCCATCGGCACCACCAAGCGTGGCATAGGCCGGGCGCGGCGCCGCGCCCGCGGCGCGCCTTCCGCCCGAGAGCCACCAGACGGCGCGGCCGCCACCGAGTGGCGAGCCAGCGGGGATCAAAACGGTGTCTTGGCGATTGCGTGGGCCGTTGCCGTTTCGACTGCGCTCTGCGGCAACGGCGGATTGTGAAGACGAAGCGAGGGAGAGGACGACAACAGAACGGAAGCGACAAACACCGTGCAGGTTCAGCCCCGTGGGGAGCCGGCGGGGATATCCGGGGCGGCCGCGCAGTCCTGGGACCCGGGCCGTGCTCCATGGGGCGCCTCGGGCGGCTGTGGGATATCCGGGGCGGCCGCGCGGTCCTGGGCCTCGGGCCGTGCTCCATGGGGCGTCTGGGGCGGCCGTGGGGGCCCTCCGAGGCCCCCCCCCCTGGGAGCAGCCGGCTGGGGGCGGCGGGCCCGTGGGCGGTGGGGGCTCTCCGGGGAGGGCGCGGCCACCGCACGGCCTGCCGCCGCGCCGCCTCGGGCCCCCCAGCGCCGCGCGCGCGCGGGCCCGGCTGCGGCGGCGGGGTCGTGGGGTGGACACTCGGGCCGGACGAAAGGGGGGGATTGGGAAAGGGTGCCTCCAGGGTGCTCAGGGTTTTTGGGTTCCGATGGCTTTTCCATGGACAGCGTGACGTTCCCACTCATGGCCTTCTTGTGGAAGGTACATTGTGGTCGAGCTCTCGCTGTTATCCTCCAGGGCTGGGCCTAAACGCTGGTTTGCTGGACTTCGGCTGTGTTATGTTTTTTGGTTCTGGGAGGGAGGTACAAGAACACAGGCAGAGCAGAACGAACAACAACAACAATCATTTTAAGAATGTTCGCCCTTAGATGCTCGAGTGTCCAATAACGCGTATTTCCCAAACCCTCGATACCCGCCCTCTTCGTCTTCGATCGAACCCCTTTTGGGGGGTATACCTTTCTTCCCTGCAGGCCGGGCCCCGGCAAGCGGCGGGGCGGCCGCGGACCGTCGGCCTGGCCAGCGGCAGCGCTGATCGGCGGGGCGGCCGCGGACCGTCGGCCCGACCCCAAGAGGGATGGACAGGGGACCGACGACGACGACGACGACGACGACGACGACGACGCGACGACGACGACGACGGCGACGACGAGCGAAAGCGAGAGCGAGAGAGAACGACAGCAGGGCCACGAAGGGCACAAAGTAGGCCACGAAGGGCGACAGCGGAGACACGAAGGGAATGCGTATGGCGCCACGAAGAGCGCGAACGAGCGGGGGCCACGAAGTGCAGATAATGCGGGGCCACCGAAGGCAACTATGGGGCCACTGAGGGTAGCAACTGGGCCACGTAGGACAGTGAGGGGGACACAAATAGCGACAGCGGGGCCACGAAGGGCATGCACATGGGGCCACAACGGGCGCGACTCCTGGGTGCCTGGGTGTCGGGAGCGCGGCGCTTGGGCAAAGCGCAGGAAATTCCAACGCAAGGCCAGTCTTCAGTAAATTGCAAGCAAGTCTCCAGCGAGAGCGCGACTCCAGAGCGCCGGGAGAGCGATTCCTTAATAACTATCAGGAAGTCCTAAGCGAGAGCTCAATTCCTGAATGAAATGCAAGGAAGTCTCGGGCGGGAGCGGGGGTCCTGGCTAAAGTGTAAGGAAGTCTCAGGCGGGAGCCGTTGTTAATGTAACCCGGGGGCCAGGGGCCCAGTTTGAGCAGGAAGGTTTTCCTTTCCAAAAAAACAGGGTGCGAGCGTCGAGGGGCACACTTTTGATTGAGAAGAAACAGTATGCACCGGCGGGGGGGACCAACAATAATTATTCTTCATAAGAAAGACTTCAACCAAGCGAAACACACAACGAACAACAACGTTTAGGTCCAGCCCTGGGACTCCTCCTCCCCTTTTCTCTCTCTCCCCCCCTTCCCCCGTCCCCTCCGCCCTGGCCCCCCCCCTCGCCCGAGCGCACGCCTCGTGCCGTGGTGCGCCCTCCCCCCTCCCCCCTCGGCCCGCCCCTTGCCCCTCGCGCCGCCGCGCCTTCCCCCCCCCCGCCAGCGCTCTCGCCGCTCGAGCCCTGGCGCGCCGGCCCGCAGCCTGCCGCTCCGCCGAGGTCGGGCACGCCCCCCTACAGGAGGGAATCGCCAGGGACTTCTGCACGCCCGAAATGGGTATTGAAAGAATGGGTACGATGCCCAACAGCAGCTCTTGTTCATTCTGAACAGGACTCGCTGTCCACGCCGCCGCGGCCTGTGTCCATTCGAGACAGGAGGTCGCCCGCCCAACAGCGGCCGCTGTCGGTTTGGGACAACATTTTCTGTTGGGCATTGTACCCATTTTTGTCGGTGCCCATTTCGGGCGTCCAAAGGAGACGGGCACAAGATGGTCTGGGGACCATTTTTCCCCTGGCGTGGTTTCTCGATGCGTTTGCGCACTCTTTGGGGGGGCATGTGGAAATGTTTCGTGAGATGGTCACGAGAGAGGAGGGGTAGCCAGGATGGTCACAAGATAGGGAGGGATGGCCAGAGACGGGCACGAGATGGTCTGGGAACCGTTTTTCCCGTGGCGTGGTTTCTCGATGTGTTTGCGCACTCTTGGGGGGTATTTGGAAATCTTTCGAGAGCTGGTCACGAGAGAGGAGGGACAGCCAGGATGGTCACAAGATGGGGACGGATGGCCAGAGACGGGCACAAGATGGTCTTGGGACCGTTTTTCCTGGCGTGGTTGTTCGATGTTTTTGCGCACTCTTTGGGGGCATTGGGAAATGTTTCGAGAGATGGTCATGAGAGAGGAGGGGCAGCCAGGATGGTCACAAGATAGGGAAGGATGGCCAGAGATGGGCACAAGATGGTCTGGGGACCGTTCTTCCCTGGCGTGGTTTTCCGATGTTTGTGCGCACTTTTGGGGGGTATTTGGACAAGCCTCGTCCAACATGCCCCTGCAGGGGCACACGCCCGACCCCATGCTCCGCCCATCGATGGGCGTGCGCCGGCGCCCCTACGACGGCCCGAGCCCGAGGCCGCCGGCCGCGGGGAGATGGCGGACAGCCCGAAGGTCGGGGGTGCGTTCCGCGTTGTTGCGGTGTGTGTTTTCGTGCACCGCTCAGCCAGGCCTCCTGGACGGGGTCGGAGCTTAGTGGGCCCTGGAAACGACAGGGCCGTTTTTTTTCCGGTTTCGTTTTGCCGTTTTTTTGCCGGTTCCGATGCAGTTTTTTTCTGGTTCCGTCGCCGTTCATTTGCGGGTTCCCGGTCCGGTTCCAATCCTGGAGCCGATTTTGTTGCCGTTTCCGGTCGCAGTTTTTTTGTTGTTTCCATTTTCAAGGGGCATTTTTTTGGAAACGGTGAAAACGGCCCTGCCGTTTCTGGGGCCCACTAAGGGTCGGAGCAGGTGGGGTCGGAGAATCGCGCCGCGTCGCCGACGCATCGACGATGAGGCTCGCCGCGGAACCTGAATTTCTCCACGCCGACGTCGCCGACGCATCGCCGACGTCGCCGGTGAATGGCCGATGCATCGCCGATACATCGCCGATGTATCGGCGATGCGGCGAGATCCTCCGATCCCACCTATACTCGGACCCCATCTAGGAGGCCTTTAGGGAGGGGGCGGCCCCCTCACAGCGTGTGTCTTGGCATCGCTCTGGCGTGTGCGTTTTTTTTTTTTGTTTTTCCCCGGCGAGAGCCCTGGAGGATCCTCTGGCATCATCGAGCGAAGACAGACGCCCACGAACTCTAAGAGTGCACGGGCCATGGACGTCCGAGCGATGGCAAGGTGTACATGTTTTTGTGTGTGCGTGTGTGTTCAGCACCAGTGGCCTGGAGGACGGGCCGAAACATGATACACTGCACGCTGTCCTGTTTCGGGGGTGGACAGAACCCCCAACAGTGACACGTCGATTAGTGAATTGTGCGTTCTCGGTTCTCGAGAGGGCGCCGTGGCCGTTATTTTCCAGGCTTGCGCCCGCCAGGTTTGGGCCTCAGGTCGTTTTCACTGAACCACGTTTTACTCAAGGGGGGTCTGTCCATCCCCGACTGTTGCGTTTTTGTGCGAAGCCCCTGGGACGGGGCCCGGGTGCCTTCTAGCGCGTGTGCGCGCGGTTCGCAGCGGGGTCGCCAGTTGCCCAAGCCTTCTTGGCGGATTGGTCACGGCAGCGTGGTTTCACGCCGACGCGGTGGCGGCGACTTTGGTGCGGGCGATCCGGGTTGAACGCGGCCAATGTCCGGGAAACGGCGGATATGTCAAATGATCCGCGCGAGCGGGACACCGCAAACGTTCGAGGTTGGGCGATCCACGCGGTGTCAGAAACCACCATGGAAGTCGTCACACCACGCGAATTGGCTGCATCTCCATCCTGACGACTGCTCGCCGTGGGGCCATCCAGAGAACGACTCCAGATGCAGAGCTGGCTCGGGGACGGTGGTCGAGAGCTTCCGGGGCCCACGGATGGAAAACGCCTTGCCGCGGGTTGTCTGAGAAGCAGGCACTGGCACAGGTCTTGAGCTTTTGGGCCCTGAGCCACGGATCTGGTTGCCTGCCTGCCTGGCCAAGCCCATGGGGGCTTTCTGTTCACCGGTCCCTGTCGCAGGGTTTCGCATCTGGTGCGCCAGTATCCGGGTCAGCCCGAGCGCGGGTGAGCCAGCACCTTCTGGCGGACCCACAGTTGGGGAGCAGCTGCGTTGCTGGCCGGCATGGGCAACACGGCATTGGCCGGCCCGTGGGAACCTTGGCCCGTGTCTCAGGGGCGGCCTTAACCGACCCCTTGCACACCATCCCCTTGCGTGACGCCCCCCTCGCCTCGCCCCAAGGCGTAGGTGTGCGGCCAGAGGGAGATGTTGGAGGCGAGGTGGACGTGACGAAAGGGGATGGTTTGCCAGGGGTCGGTGAGACCGCGCCCGACGTACCAGCCCGTTCCCCGAGGTTCGGCCATGAGCCGGGCGGAGGACAACTACACAGATCCGCCCCTTTCATCCCCCTGGGCCACCTCCATGGGAGGAGGGGGAGGGACCCTGACCTTCCAGGACCTCAGGAGGGCTCGTAAATAGCACTTGGATTTGATATTTTAATTCCAGTCGAGGTTTAAACCAGATCGGTCTACAGGGTCGGAGTGTTTTTTTTTCAGCGCCCTGGAAGGCCAGGGGAGGAGGGTTCAGGGTGGACCCGTCTGTTCGATTCCTGGGAGCAGCGTCGGTGCAAAGTTTCCGTCCTCCCGCGCAGGGAGCGCTCATCAACTATCCCGCGTGGCTGCACGCCAGGCCGCACGCCCTCTCCCCGGGGGCCCGAGGAGCGGCGGGAGAGGAGAGCTCTTTGTTGCGCCCCAGCGCCTGGCGGAGGCGGTCGGGAGCAGGCCGGCCGTCGGGCTCGGGCGCCCCGAGCGCCCGCGCCCCTGTCTGCTCGGGGGTGGACAGTCGGGGGCGGCAACGAGGGGGGTGATGACTAGGGGGGGTGGATATCATGGCGGGGGCCATGATATTCCCCCAGATTTCATGGCGCCTCTTCTTATGTCATTACGTTCCTGGCCCCCCCTGGGCCGCGCACATGCCGCCGGCCATGATTTGCGCCCCCCCCTCTTGGACGCCCCCCTCTTGGCCGCCCCCGAGACAGACCTCCTACCCTGACACGTCGATTAGTGAATTGGACGTTTTCGGTTCGCGAGGGGGCGTCGCGGCCGTGATTTTTGCGGGTCCCGGTCCGTCGGTTTCGGTCCCAGGCCGTTTTCGCTAAGGGGAGGTTTACTGAAGGGAGGTTTGTCCACAGCCGATGTCTGCGGCCATTCTCCCACGTGAGAGCCGACGCTGCGAGAGAGCAGCACTGGAAAAATCACCTCCTGAGCCCTATAGGCCCAAGCTTTTGGCTTCCTGTTTCGAGACGGATCAATCCGTGAGGGTCCCCGGGACCCGGATCGAGGCCATTTCGCTCGCTGTGGGGCACCGTGGGACGCCAGACTCTCAGGGGAGGAGGGCGCCACCGGTTGTTTTCTCCCGACTCTGCTGCCACTCGGGCTGGCTACGGGCAAGTCGGGCACATCCCTCTACAGGAGGAATTTTCAAAACATACTTTGGGGACGATTTTGCTATTAGTCTCTTAACTCTCGGGAGTCTGTTCTGCCCTTTCTGGGGGGTTCTTCCACAATCCGCCTGACCCAAGGCTGCGGGGCCGGACAGGATCGAGGACCGCGTGCCATGCCATGACTCGCCCGTCCCGACCCAGGCCCCGGCCCGCCTTAACTGGCCCCCTCTGCGCCCGCGCCCGGACCGCCCCCCCCTCGGCCGTGGGGCCAGGGCGATCCCTGTCCACTCTTCGGGAGCTGCGCGTCTCCGCCGGCGCCTCGCCGAGGGGGAGGGGCGGCGTCAGGGGGGGGGGATCAGCTCGGGGGGGGCGCACCTCCCGTCAGGAGCGAAAGAAGTACGTACATGTACATGAATCCACGCTGGTTTCGAGAGCACGCATTGCACAAATGTTCGTATAACGCGGCCGGTCTCGCGAATCGAGGGGCCGTGTTCATGTACATAGCTGGGCGCGTACGTCCTTTGTGGGCTCCCGGGGGGGGGATCCGCTCGGGGGGAGCGCACCTCCCCCGGTCGCCTCCCCGGTCCCTGGCCCGAGCCCTCCCACCCCGACCGGGAGCGTGCGGCCTCGCCATCGGGGGGGGCCTGTCGCCAGTCGATCGGCGATGCATATGCCGATTCCAAGCCAGCGGTTGGCACGCTCGAGATGGGCACGGAGAACACCTAGGCACGCCGCCAAGCAGCAAATGTGGCCTCAGACCAGCAGCGGCCGCTGGTGTGCAGGCGCCCTCCTGTGCCAAACGGGCAGCATCCGCGGCGACGCCGACGCCGAGTCTTGTTCAAAGCAGAGGGGGCTGCTGTTGGTCACCGCCCACCAAATCACCCCAACCCAACCCGAAGGCCCCAATTTGCCCTCCATCTCCAGTTGGGGGGGGGGTCGGGGAACGTTGAGAAAACACACATGAAGCCCGTACCCCCCCCCAACCCGAAATTCGGGTCTTCGGGTTGGGTTGGGGTGGGTTTGTAGGTAGTCAGCTGGTCTTCGTTCCCGTTCATCCCGTGCCCATGCAAGACGCTCCAGACAGGGCCTCGCCCTTGAGGACCGAAGGCAGTGCGACCTCTTCCTCGGCGGAAGGTCGGCGGAAGGTCGGCGAAGGTGGCAGGAGTAGAACGGGGACGGCCGCGCCGGGGGAAGCCCGGCGATGAAGCCTGCGGAGGGAAGAGGTGCGCCCCCGAGAGATGGCAGCGTGCGTTCCCGGAGAGCTCTCTGAGGGCTAAGAGGGCTTCAGATTCGAAGCCGGCAGCGCAGGGTAGGCCAGCTCCTCCCCAATCAGGAGGGGACAAAAACACAGACACAAATAATCGTCGATTCCCAGGAAAATATTGGAAAATATGGGAAGTGGGGGGGGAAGACCAAAACCCAGAACATCTGGGAAAACATGGGGAATATTTTTATTTGTTTTTTTTTTTTTTGTGTGTGTGTGTGTGTCCTGGGGCCCCTTCATAAGAGGGCTTCAGATTAGAAGCCGGCAGCGCAGGGTAATCAGGCCAGCTCCTCCCCAGGGCTCCCGGGCAGGCATCCCCGGAGCAACCTGCTTGAGTTCGAAGCGCGTTTTGGGCTCGTTCCCAACACGCGTGCTTGAAGCCTTTCCACAGGTCCTTCGAAGCTCCCTCGAAGCTCGCTTTGAGAAGCTTGCCGGCTCCCCCGGCATGCTTTCCAGCGCCCTGGCAAGCGTCTCCCACAGGCCTCTTCCAAGCTTCGCAGGCTCCCCGGGCATCCTTTCGAGCGCCGTTGCCAGCGCCTCCATAAGCGTTTCACGCGCTTGTGACTGCTGCACAGGTGGGCTTCAAGGTTACTCCAGATTTCATAATAAAAGGGAGGGGGTCTCAACCCTCCCAGACGAGAAGTTTTAGACCCCCCCCCCCTGGGAGAACCCTCCAAAACATCGTCCCCAGACCCCCCCAGGCCCTCCAAGATAGCCTGGAAGAGACCTCCCCCGAAATGAGACCACCTCCCTTTTATTACGAAATCTGGGACTCGGAACCTGCCATTTCGACCGCGCTGAGGCGACGACGCCCCCACCGAGCCAGCCCGCCGGCCCCCTCCCCGGAGCGCAGAGCGAGGCAGGCTGGCTGCGCCTCCGCCGCCAAGGCAGGGGCCGGGAGGACCTGCAGAAGAACAAATTCGGCGACGGGCAGGGCGGTGCCAAGCTCCAGGCGTCGGGGGGGCCGGCGGGCCCGGGGAGAGGACGCGCGCCGAGAGAGGGACGCCGATGTGGACGGCGGCATCGCGAGAGGCGGGTGGTGCGGGAAGCGGGGCCTGAAGGCTTCCCAGATGGGGTCCGAGGGGGCGGGGTCGGAGGGTCGCGCCGCATAGCCGATCTAATTATCTGCGGTGCGGCTCGATGTGGAGCCCGATGTTCTCCGCGCCGACGTCGCCGAGGCATCGCCGATGCGTTGGCGATGCGTATGCGATGCATCAGCAATGTGGCGCGATCCTCCGACCCCATCTAACTACTCGGACCCCATCAGGGCGGCCTCTGGCGGCTTTTCTCGATTTTCTGGCTCGCGTGGCCCTCCGCTGGCCCCGTAGCCGTCAAGAGCGACTCCTCTGGGTAGAAAGGCTGGCCCTGAGGCCAGGGGCCCAGGACTCCTGGGCCGAAATGATACCCCCCTACCCCCCGACCACGACGGGGGGGTGAGGCAGACTTGCCGAATGGGTGCTGCGATTGGGGGTGCGATTTTGGGGCCTCGTCCCCCTGCTCCTCCTCCTCCTCCTCCTCCTCCTCCTTCCCCGCCTCCTCCCACATTGTTTCCCTCATGACCCGCTTCTTTCACACCAGCGATTGTTAACACTGAAGACGCTGAACGATTTCGCGAGCTCAGATGGTCACGTTGTCGCGGGGGGGGGCGGGGCTGTGCGAAGCTATCCTCAGGCGTGTCTTGTATTATGTCCTCGACGCTGTGGGTAGTGTCCACCTGCGCTGCCTCCCGAATCCGCCATTTCGCCCAGGGGGGCTCGGCGGCGGGGCAGCGCTGGTGGCTTAGTGACGTTAGGATGCAATTCCTGGGAGGCTAAATTGAGTGTCGGCGCTGGTATATCAATGGTCGGAAGCTTGCACGATCTGGCGTAATATTGTTCCATTCCGCGGAATCCTGATTCATGAGGCTCAATATTGGGACACATTCGGCTTAATCGGCATTGCGAAGACGTCCCAGGAGTTGCATCCAAAGTGACGGTCGCTGACGTTTCGCCCCCCCCCCCCCCACCCCTCCCTCGGCGTGGCCTTTGACCACCTGTTTCGGGCGCCTTGGCACGGGGGTCAACGCAAACGGGGGTCAAAAAGAGCGCCCGATCTTGCAGGATCCTGCAGGGCCAGGGTCGCATTGACCAGGGAGGATCTTGCAGGATTCTTCACATTGACCCGGGTTTGGGTGCAGGACCTTTCAGGATCGTGCAGGATCTTGCAAGGCTTGACCGACCCGGGTCTGGATTGACCCAGGTCAGAAGATTCCCGACTGATGGACCCGCCGCGCCGCACAGGGATCAGCGGCACACGACCATGTGTGTTAGGCAGCATGTTCTGCTTGGATAGCAGCGCGCGCAGGAATCAGGGATCCGGAAGCAGAATGCGGCAGCGCAGCCCGGCGACGCGAGCCTGCATCCCGGCGGAGTTGAGAATGTATGGCCAGAGAGATAGCTAGAGAGAGAGAGAGAGAGAAGACGGGGACGACGACGGAAGGAATTCGAATAGCCCTGAGGGTATTCCACTCAGTGTGTAACAGCTCGGTGGATTGCGCGATGATGCACCGTAAGTCAATACCATTTGAATGCATAGCAGTGGAAGCGCGGCTTGCTATCCAATTATGTTATGTAGAGGTTGCCACGGCGTTTGATTTCTGGCCAAATACCAAGCAAGGTTACCATTTTTCCTCAAAGCAAGACCAATGGAAGTTGGAACAACAAAGGAGAATATCGTAAGTGATTGTCGGCGGATGCATTTAGGGGGGAAATAATCCCTACCCCCGGAAACAAAAAAACGCATATTGGGAAGGGACATCGCTCGACAGAACATCCGCCCAGAGGGTTTGTGGAGTCTCTTGGTAGGTTTTCAGGTTCACGTATCAGGGGTGTAGATTTGATTGACGATCTTTGTATATAGGTTTTCTGCACCATGTTTGGTTGGAGTCCCAGCCGCTTCGGTGGAGAGCCACACGAGAACCCCACGGGAGGTCCCCAAAGCCCAGGAACGAGGTCCCGCGGTTTTGCGGAGGATTTTTTGTAATTTTCATGGTCCGTAAAAGAAAGTGCCGAAGACGCCTACGGCGAACCACGGTCGCCCCGTGCCTTTGGAAGTGATTATGTGGCCGAACGTTGCGGCCAGAGCGCGGCCAAGCTATCGGACTGTGTGTTCCCCCAGCCGTTGTGGGAAATACTTTCGGGGAACACGTGGGGGAGAAAGAAGAAGAGGAGGAGAGTAAGGAAAACGAAGGAGGAGGAGGAGGAGGAGGAGGAGGAGCAGGCGGAGAAGGAGGAAGAGGAGGAGGAGGTCTTGGGGAACTCTAGGGGCCTTCTGGGAGCTTTCTGGGGGCCTCTTGGAGGCCTCTTGGGAGCTTCCTTGGGCCTCTTGGGGGCCTTTTTCGGCTCCTTGGGAGGCTCTTTGGACGTCTGAGAGCGTTCCTGGCCAGTCTGACGCTGTCGGAAGCCGTCTTGGGGGCCTCTCTTGGCCGACTTGACGCCCTCGTGGGGCGCTTCGGGGTCATCTTGGAGGCCACCCTTGGCGTCGTGGAGGTCTCCTGGGAATCTTGGGTAGTCAGGGGACCATCTCGGAGGCCTCTTAGGCGCTCTTGGGGCCGTCTCGGTGGCCTCTGGGGCCGTCTTGGGCCGTCGGAAAGTTGACAATGAGCAAACGCCCAAAACCCCTCAAGCACGAATGGAATGTCAATGTTGTTGGCCTGTTCGGGCCTTCTTGGAGGTCCTCTTGAAGGCGTCTTCGGCCGTCATGGAGGTCTCTTGAGGCCACCTTGCGCCGTCTTAGGTGCACCTTCGGTCGTCTTGGATACATCGCGCGGCCATTTTGGGCTCTCTTGGGACCTTGGCCGTCTTGGAGGCCGTCTTGGCCCACCTCGGAGGCAATGTTTTGCCATCCCGTAGCCATTTGAAGCGGACAAATCCTTGCCGACTGGGTCCCACGTCGCTTTCCGCGCAGCCAGCGGGTCGGGCCGAGACCCCACTGGGAACCTCGAGACTAACCGAGCACGACCTAGAGTTCGGCACGCCGTGCACCCCTGTGGCAAGCACTGGGGGCGGCGGACATGATACCATTTGGCCCACCACGCCACCGCGCCTGTCGTGCGGACCGGAGGCCTCTCGGAGGCCTGGTCGCTTGGGGGTCCTCTTCGGGACATGCCTCTCGGGAGTATCTTTCGGCGGCGTGCGAGGGGGGAGGTGAGAAGGAGAAGGCCTTTTCAGAAGGCGGCCGGACTTCTCAGAAGTCCGCGCCTTCTGAGAAGTTTTTTTGTGCATTCGGGGAAGGCTTAGAAAACTTGTCAGAAGGCGGGACGACTTCCGAGCCTTCTGAGAAGGCCTTCTCATTCTCATTTCCCCCTCGCTCGCCGCCAAATCTTGGCAGCCTCTTGAGTCCTTCTGTGTGCCTCTCGTGGGCGTCGGATAATTATTGGTGCCTCTTGGGGGGGCGTCTTCGCGGAGTTCGGCGGCCTCGGGGACCCCTCTCTTGGGGGAGCTGCCTGGGCCCCCCCCTCGAGCTCTGCTTCGGGGGCCTCCCTGGGGAACCCCCTTGCTGGCCTGAGGCAGTGCCCGGACGATCTGGGCCTCTTGGGCCATCGTTCACCGAGCGCGTTCCGCTCCTCTCAAAGTGCCTACTCGCAAAAGTTAGAAGAAAAAGTGTTTTCCCATATGTAATTGATCATGAATCCCCCGCGGCGGATCCGTGCCATTTGCGAGTAGTTTTTTGCGAGTCGTGGAGCGCGTTTGTCTGTGAAGCCGCTCACAACCGCCGAGCGGTTTTGAACGACTTGGGCTGCTCGTGCTGGGCCTCGAAGCCTCCGACACGGCCTCCGAGCTCAGTCTCGTTCAACCGACCCCCATCCCCATCCCCATCCCCTTCGAGACCCCCACGAAATTACCACCCCAGTTGGGGATACACCCCTCGAAACCCGAAGGGGACCGCCCATACAGTCGGGGCCCTGAAGAGGGAACCCTTTTCGTTGGGAAGGGGCTCCGCGTTCCTTAAGTGTTTCGCAGCTTGCCTCAGGTTCTCTTTATGTTTTCGATGGGACATCGGAGGTTAACTTATGGAAAAAAGGGGCCTCGTTCCTTATTTTGGGTTCCTTAGGTCAACGCCCCGACTGTATCCCCATCCAGGGGGGTGCATCGGCCAGTGGGACCCAGGCCACGCCGCTGGGGATGGGGGCTGGATCAACGAGGCCCACGGGCGCGCCTTCCCCCCTCCCCCTCCCCAGGCAGGCCCAGGGGGCCCCTCTTGATACGCGCGCTGGGCGCCCGGAGCCCCATCCAGGGACCAGGGGCCTGGGACTACAGTCGGGGCGTTGACCTAAGGAACCCTGAATAAGGAACGAGGCCCCTATTTTCCATAAGTTAAGCTTCGATTTCATATCGAAACCCTAAGCAAAACCAAAGGCGAACTGCAAAACAACTAAGGAACACCGAGCCCCTCCCAAACGAAAAGGGTTCCTTCCTCAGTGCCCCGACTGTAAGTCGGGCATGTCCCTCTTCAGCGGGAAAGGTCAACAGTAGTTTAAACAAATGTAGTCTGGGAGCGATTATTCCATCATTTTTGACTATTAGTTGGTGCATGTTTGGATGATTCCATTTTTTTCAGCCAACATCCGATTGTAGGAGATCGCGCCCAAGCTAAGCCGAGGGCAAAGCCGCGCTGGGAGCCCCAGTTGCGCCAGGGAGCGTCCAGCCCAGGCGCCCTCGGGCCATGACAAAGAGTCCCGACGGAGTCTGCGTTGCTGCTACATTCGGTCTCTGGGGGCCCCCGCCAGGCCCCGGGACCTGAGAGGACCTGAGAAAAACAAGTCTGCATGCAAAGCCGGTCCTGGGCAGTGGGTCGAGACCCCCAGAGGGGGTTCACGATGTAGAAAAGCATGCCGTCGGGGGTCTGGGGGGAGCGCCCCACTGACCCGGCAACAATTTGGCATCGCTCGGACGCGTATGTGTGTGTGGGGCATCCCGGAGCATCGAGCCAAAAAACAACATGCACGAATGCGAGAAATGCACGGGGAATCGAAGTCCGAGCGATGGCAGACGGGGGTCGACGCAGATGGGGGTAAGTCAGAGCGCCAGCTCTTGCAGGCTCGTGCAGAGCCAGGGGCGCACTGGCCCGGATTTGGGTGCAGGGTCCTGCAGGATCCTACAGGATCTTGCAGGATCCTACAAAGCCTGAGTGACACGGGTCTGGATTGAGCGGGGTCAGTCGATCTCCGATTTAAATGGCAATCACAGTGTTCGGTATCGCAGATTTTTGCTGGCCTGAGAGCGCCCCACGACTGCCGATGCGGCACGGTGATGGGTACTCATGGTCCTCCCAATCCTTGCACGGTTATCTCTGGCTCTCTCGGCAGGCGTATCACCATCGTTGTCGTTCGCTTTTAGCCTCTCATTCTCTATCCTTTTGCAGATCCTCGTCCAAACAGAACGCGTTTGTTGTTGCGTCCTAATCCCCCGTTCCTTCTCCGAGCGTCACCATTCCTTTCCTTCAGTTTCCCCTCGCTCCCTCCCGGAGATAGTGTCGGCCGCCGCTGAAGATGGTCAGGATGCTGCGAAGTGCGGATGGAAGAGCACCTGCACGGTCCGCTTGTGTTTTGGAATGCCTCTCATTGTCCTCCATGTCCTTCTCACATCCACGCTTTCTTCTGATACCTTCGTCCCCCACCTCGCGCCAGATCGATGCTTTATCTACTATACGCGTTGCCTCCAGAGGCCGCTTATGGGCCTTGGGTAAGTCGTGCGCGTGTCCCCCTACAGGAGGAATTTTCAAAAATGATCAAAGAATAGTCTGGGGGCGATTGTTCTTTTGGAATGTTTTTTTTTTGCATTTGTCTTCCAAAATCCGCCTATAGGGGGACATGCCCGACATAAAAGTGGTAGTCGAGTCGGGTGGTCGGGTCGTCGGAGGTCTTGGAGGCCGTGCGCACGCGGTTTTTTGCTTTTGAGCGGTCCATGGGCACTCCGTGCCTACCCAGGCCTGCACAAGGCTACATCCCCACTGACCTCCGATAAAAGAGGTCGTACTCCTCGACCCCTTGCGAGTCGGACTCCTCGACCCCTCCTGGGGGAACAAACATGCTTGCCAGCGCGAACCTCGAACACCGTTCTTTTGCACTCCAATTATGTTTTTTTTCTACGTGGCACAATACCTGGGATGCAATACATATTGTTCAATCTATGTGGTTCGATCTATTTAGTCCTAGATACGTGGTGCAACGCGTGGAAATGAGTAGATGTGGCACAGACCATCTGTTGCGATGTATGTTGAATAACTTGAAGTTGACAACTCCATACTGCTCGCGCACTCATCCCACCCTCCCCCCCCCCGCAACTTGGTTTGAAGTATTCATGCGGCGGCGATTGCGATGACTGCTTGGCACTGGCTGCCGCATCTCTGCGGCCGCGCTAGTGCGCGCAAGCTCGCGCGTAGAACGCCCAGTTAGTTTGGCACAACCGACGCAGCGGCGGTGGCGCTGACCGATGGAGACTCCCAGCGCGTCTCACAGGCCGCGGTATCATGGTGACGTCGACAACGGCGGAAAGGATGATCATTTGAGCGATGATGGTGACGATGATGACGATGACGACGACAAAGCCAATGAAGGCGCCGATGTTGGTCACGCCGATCACGATGATGATTTCCATGTGTCGCGTCGTGGATGAAGGTGTTGGAAGGATTTGGCCATGAGCGCGGCCGACGCGCGTGAGTGACCCGCTTGGTTCGATTTGACATCGCTGTGGGTTCTCGCTTTGAATAACACTCGGGTCGCGCCTCCTCGTTCCTCCCGCTTCCCTCCTCTCCTCCCTCCTTCCCTCCCCCGCAGTCCCACATAATTAGAGTTCCCGAGGGCGGGGTCTCCCCGCTAGCGGGGCTCCGGACCAGCCTTACAGGGTGCACGCCTCCACATTATACTCGGGGGCCCCGCTCAGCTTTCAAGTTTGAGGCACCAAGGGCCCCCAACGACCTTATCCCTATCCTTACCCTCCTTCTCTCCCCTCTTCTGTATTGCCTGGCTTGTACCGGCCTGTCAGTCTGCCTCCTACCTCGCCGTCCTACGTTACCTCGCCATCCTGGGTGGGGGCGGCAGTATGCGAAATTGTCGCCACGTTTGAGGGCTGCCTGGGAGGGGGGAGGGGGCAAAACAGTGCGGTGCTGCGCGGGTCAGAGCGGGATCTCGCCATCTCTGAAGGGTTGCGATCTGCGAAACTGCCATCTTTTTCGATGGTTGTTGGGGGGGAGGGCAGTGGAGTGACGTCATATCCAGTCGGTCAGTCAAGCCAGGCGCCAGGTGACGGCGCATCGGCAAGGAATCGACAGGAGCGCGATTCGCTCACAGATTCCATAACACAAATTAGCAGGAAATGCGACATTCCAGCAACAAGGCATAACCTACACTCGTACACGCTGGCCAAACACCAGTTGCGAAAGCGAGGCGTTCTTCTGGATGATATCAGAGGGCATGGAACGACTGATTACGTTTTTTTGTTCCCATGCGTCCAAAACTCTGTTGGGGATTGTTGTGTTTTGTGCTGAGCTCCCGATCACGAGTGCGCAGACTAAGCTTAGACCTTACCATCCCTGGGGGGGAGGGGCTGCGATCTGCAAGCTTGTCGCAACCTCTGCAGGCTGTTTTGGGAAAGCTGCGGAGTAACGTCATACGTATACCTGAAGTATACTTCGCCATCCCTGGGTGTCTGCGATGATCTGCAACATTGTCGTCACAGACATTCGAGGGCTGCTGGGTGGGGGGGGGACAGCGGAGTGACGTCATACGCAGGCCCAGATTCGACATGCCAATCCTTGGGGGGAGAGCTGGGAACTTGGATCTGCGAACCTGTCGCCACTTCCGAGGGCTTGTGAGGGGTCCAGCGGAGCGACGTCCTATGGGGAATCCCATGGGACTTCACCATCCCTGGTAGGTGCTGCGACCTTCGAAATTGCCGCCTCGGTCGAGGGCTGCTGGGCTGGCGGGGGGGGGCAGCAGAGTGACACCATACGCAGTCTCAGACTAGATCTCACCATCCCTGGGGGAGGGCTACGATCTGCGAAACAGTCGTCACGTCCGAGAGCTGCTGATGGGGTCCCTGGAGGCAAGCAGGGCGTTTCTTGGCATGGGCCCCCACCGTAGCTGCCCTCCTCCTGGGAGGCCACGCGAGGGCGCGAGGAGGACTGCTCTTCTGCTCTTCGCGTTTCATCGCGGCATGTGGCGCTGAGTCGAATTTTGGTGCGCGCGCACGTGATTGTCGGTGCGCGCGTGGGCACGTGGCTGTCGAGGTCCCGACGCCGAACGGCTGCTCTGTCATGCAGACGGCCACCGGCACGAGCAAGAAGGCTGCCGAAGCGAGCGCGGTGGAGATGGTGCTGAAGGTGCTGAGGAATCTGGGCCTCATGCGCAACGTCAGGGACCGCGCGCCTCTCTCGGCATCGCTCGGCCATGCGCACCTTTCTCGGCGAGGACCATCGTGGAGCCTCCTGGACCACCTGGCGAAAAAGAAGCCCACGAAGCCGAACAGTGCCTGGGAAGGGACGTCCGAGCGACGGCAAGCTCTTGCACGGACCACCGCCAACGAGAGCCCCTCGGGGGTGGCACCGTCCCTCAGGCGGTGACGCTCGGGGGGTGACGCTCGGGCGGGCTACCGTTAAGTCGGGCCTGTCCGCCTACAGGGGGATTTTCGACGAAAAATAAAAAAGTACCTCCAAAATGCTCCAAAAGGGTCAACAAATACCCAAAAAATAGTCCCCATACTATTTTTCGGCTATGTTTATACGTTTGGGGTATGTTTTATTCCCAACCCTCCTTGGTTGGGTATTCGTTTTGAATATGGGACTGTGGTCTCCACCTTCCTTCCTCCCGCCTCCCTCCTGCCTCCTGCCTGCCTCCTCCTGTCTTGCCCGCGGGGGTCTGCGGTCTGTGAACCTGTCGCTACTTTCGAGGCCTGCTGGGGGGCCCAGCACAGTGACGCCACGCGCGGACCCAAATTAGACCTCGCCATCCCTGGGGGGCTGCGATCTGTGAAACTCTGTCGCCACTTTCGAGGCCTGCTGAGGGGCCCAGCACAGTGACGCCACGCGCGGACCCAAATTAGACCTCGCCATCCCTGGGGGGCTGCGATCTGTAAAAATCTGTCGCCACTTTCGAGGCCTGCTGGGGGGCCCAGCACAGTGACGCCACGCGCGGACCCAAATTAGACCTCGCCATCCCTGGGGGGCTGCGATCTGTGAAACTCTGTCGCCATTTTCGAGGCCTGCTGGGGGGCCCAGCACAGTGACGCCACGCGCGGACCCAAATTAGACCTCGCCATCCCTGGGGGGCTGCGATCTGTAAAAATCTGTCGCAACGTTCGAGGCCTGCGGAGTGAGGCACCGCGCGGATCTGAGCGGGACGTCGCCGTCCCTGGGGGACTGCGATCTGCGGAATTGTCGCCACTTTCGAGGGCTGCTGGTGGGTCCTGCGGGGTGAGGCACCGCGCGGACCTGAGCGGGATCTCGCCGTCCTTGGGGGGCTGCGATCTGTGAAACCGTCGCCACTTTCGAGGGCTGCTGGTGGGTCCTGCGGAGCGAGGCACCGCGCGGACCTGAGCGGGACCTCGCCGTCCCTGGGGGGCTGCGATCTGCGAAACTGTCGCCATTTTCGAGGGCTGCTGGTGGTTCCTGCGGGGTGAGGCACCGCTCGGACCTGACAGGACCTCGCCGTCCTTGGGGGCTGCGATCTGCGAAAGTGTCGCCATTTTCGAGGGCTGCTGGTGGGTCCTGCGGAGTGAGGCACCGCGCGGATCTGAGCGGGACGTCGCCGTCCCTGGGGACTGCGATCTGCGAAATTGTCGCCACTTTCGAGGGCTGCTGGTGGGTCCAGCGGGGTGAGGCACCGCGCGGACCTGAGCGGGACCTCGCCGTCCCTGGGGGGCTGCGATCTGCGAAACTGTCGCCATTTTCGAGGGCTGCTGGTGGTTCCTGCGGGGTGAGGCACCGCGCGGACCTGAGCGGGACCTCGCCGTCCTTGGGGGGCTGCGATCTGCGAAGCTGTCGCCACTTTCGAGGGTTGCTGGTGGGTCCTGCGGAGTGAGGCACCGCGCGGGCCTGCCTGAGCGGGACCTCGCCGTCCCTGTGGGGCTGCGATCTGCGAAATTGTCGCCACTTTCGAGGGCTGCTGGTGGGTCCAGCGGAGCGAGGCACCAGGCAGATCTGAGCGGGACATCGCAATCCCTGGGGGGCTGCGAGCCTCACGAATGCCGCTTGCAGAGGTAGATGCGCCCATGTCACGTCATCACCTCCGCATAACGTCTCCCAAGCTACACATGGGACAGGCCCGACTTAAGGCTGCCGCCGAGAGGTCGGCGTCCCTTCCCCCCGATGGCTGTACGTTCTCGGTGGCGGCGCTCCGAACTCCTCTCCTCTCCTCTCGGGGCCGCCGCCGGCCGCGCTCCCCCTTTGCTCTGGCATCGCCGCCGTCGAAGGCAGTGCGTTTCCCTCCAAAGGTCAAGTTGGGCCTGTCCCCCTACAGGGGGACTTTCGACGAACAATAAAATATATCCCCAAAAATTAAAAAAAATGCAAAAATAGTCTGGGGACTATTTTCTGAGTATTGTGTTGCCTTTTTGGTGTATTTTGGGGGTATATTCAATTTTCGTCGAAAATCCCCCTGTAGGGGGACAGGCCCGACCTAGTCCAAAGGGTGAGGTCTCGGCTTCCGGGCAGAACCAGCTCCATCCACACGCCTCCTCTCGTGCAGGAGCCCGACCGACGCGGGGCCCCCCCACGGGCAGTTTGGCACCGCTCGGCTCTGGTTTGGGAGCGAGGGTGATCAAAAGCGAGGTCGGTTCGTTTGCTTTCCAGCCAGTCGCTTCACCCATTCCACCGGCCCGTATTGTGCCATGGTTGTCGATTGGCGGAGTGGTCGTTGTCAGTGCGGAGCTGCAGGGGCGGCGGCTGTTCTCGCCATGCGGCAAGTGGAGCAGCTCCCGTTGAGCTGGTTTGTGGCGATTCGTTTTGGACCTTCTGGGGCCTTTGTAGGGCTTCTTTAGTCCTTTGGTGCCTCTGGGAGCTTCTTGGGGCTCTGCTGGCGGTTTTCTGGGCCATCTCGCGGGACAGGGCCGACCATGGCAGCTCAGGGGCTTCTGGAGCCCTCTTGGGGGGACATTGGACCGTCTTGGTGCCTCTGGGACCGTCATGGGATTTTCCGGGTGCTCGACATTAGTTCTGAGATGTGGTCTTCGCGTACGATGGGAGCAACATAATTCTTTCCGCCCAATGTCGAACTGCCGAATAAGAAAACGCTCGCCAAGAAGTGGCGACGAGCTCTCGTCACAGTGTGCCCCGTGCTGTTGGGAGGATCCCCGGGGCAGGCTGGTCCTGGGGCTCGTCCTGGCCAGTTTCTCCCGGGGAAAAGCCGGCCGTGGCCGCGAGGGCTCCCGAGGTCCGGCGGCGAGCCCAGGGGTCGAGCATCGGGTCGGACGAAAGGAGGGGATTGGGAAAGGGTGGGTTATGAAATTTGCTGCATGCAGCTGGTTTCGGCCCCACCGAGTGGTCCATTCCTAGAGACATGGCCGCCTCCGGCGCCGGGAGGCGCCGGGAAAATCAGCTACGTGAGCTGATTCTCGAACCCCCCTTTGCCATCGCCCCCTTTCGCCCAGCCCGAGAGCAGTGGCAAAGCGTCCTGGCTCGCCTATAGTCACACCAAGGAATGTTCTGAGAACTTTTTGTGGTCTGCGCGGAATGTTCTTAAAACATGTGTGGTTTGGGCTGTCTTGTTTTATCACGCAGGTTTGTGTTCTAAGAACATCGCTTTTGTTTTTGGAGTACTTTTGGGTTTTAAGAACATTTCGTGGTAGGCATATAGGAATTCCGGGATGGTCGGTCCCTGCTCAAAAGTCTAGGCCTCCCAGATGGGGTCGGAGTAGATGCGGTCGGAGGATCGCGCCGCATCGCCGACGCATCGCCGATGCGGCTAGATGCGGAGCCCGATTTGCTCCACGTTGACGTCGCCGATGCATCGCCGACGTCGGCGATGCAGCGCCGATGTATTGGCGATGCGGCGCGATCCTCCGACCCCACCTGCTCCAACCCCATCTGGGAGGCCTCTAGAAAAGGCCTTCTCAGAAGGCTCGGAAGTCCCCCGGCCTTCTGAGAAGTTCCCCAAGCCTCCCCCGAAGACACAGACAAACTTCTTCGAAGGCGCGAGGTCGTCTGAGAAGTCTCGTCGGCTTCTGAGAGGGCCTTCTCCTTCTCACTTCCCCCTCTCGCTCGCCGCCAAGAGGTGGGCCCAGAAGTGTCTAAAACGTCGGCCCAGGAGTCTCGGCACCGACGAGGACGGTGGCGACGACGCCGTCGGCGGCGGCGGCCGCCGACGATGGCGCTCGCGGTGGCGGCGACGGCGACGTCGTCGACGTCGGCGGCGGCCGCCGCCGAAGGACGTGGCGTCGACCCCCGCGGCTGGAGGCGTCGAGCCGAGCGCGAAGCGGACGAAGCTTTCGAGCTTCGACTTCGAGGACGGCGCTGGCGCCGCGCCGCCACTGCAGGCGATCCGCGGTGCCTGGGGGGCCGAAGGCGGTGCGGAGGACAGGGTGCCCGTACCGCTACAGTCAACACCCAGAACAAGGTCTCCCGGTTGCTCTTAGGGCACATTTGCGTCCTTGCGTTGCTCTTGCGCTGGGGCTCGACGCCCATTCGGCAAGGACGGGAATGGGTTCTTAGTGGGCCTTGGAAACGGCAGGCCCGTTTTTCACCGTTCCCGAATGAGTTTCGTTGCGAACATGGAAGAGGTTTGTGTATATGTCTATGGATTAGACATATTTATATATATATATATAAGAATGTGTGTATATATAGATACGCTATATATATGTGTATATATGTATATATATATATAGATACGCATGTTAGAACAAACAACGGCAATCGGAAACGGCAGCAAAAACAGCTCCAGAATTGGATCCAGGGCCCGAACCAGGGAACCAACGGCGACGGAACCAGCAGCAAAAACGGCAGAACGGAACTGGAACAAAAACAGGGTCCTGTCGTTTCCCAGGGCCCGCTAAGGGTGGGTTGGGGCACCTGTCCGTTCCTGGGGTGTTGGCAGCCCGCCGCGCAAAACATGCCAGCTTCGGCGACCAACTCCCTTGCGTCCTTGCCCCCCGTCCTGATCATAGAAGCTGACAGAACCATTGCCTCGTTTTCGCCTGTTTTGGCCTCCCGGGAGGCCCTCATCGCCACTGCTTGATTCGCTTCGGGCGAGGTACGGAGAGCGCCGGAGGTCGGGGGAAGGTCTGGGGAGGAGCGGTATCGGTACCGTGTCGTTCCCTTACAGGGGAGAGGAGGAGGAACGAACATCGAGTTGGCGCAGGTCAAATGCGGGCGCCCAGATCTGGGCATGAGTCGGGGAGGCACAAGATTCGAGCTCACCAGGAATCGGGTTCGCCGACGCTTTTTGAAAAACAGGGTTCGGGATTTTGACGGTTCATTTTTCGTGGGATGGTTTTACAGCGGGATCCCGCATCAGTTTTCAAACGAGAGAGGAGTCGACACAACGACGACGACGACGGACACTGAGGATCCTACACAGGGCCTTGCGGCGGCGCTCCGCGGCGGCGGGCTGCGTGGGCGGCACCTTCGCAGGGACGGCCCTTCCCGATCCTCTCGGCGGGCACGCGGCTGCCTCGGCGGTTTCCGCTTCGCGGTGAGGAGCAGGAGGAGATCCGAGGCCCGAAAACCATCACTTCACTAATTTTGGGCCCCAGGGCCCACTGAGGCCCCAGGGGCCCCAGATTAGTGAAGTGATGTTTTTCCCCACGTAAGGACCCCGAAATTCATCACTTCACTAAACCGAACCCAGGACGAAAGTCAGGGGCCGAATTGCTGCTGTGATGCCACATCGGCCTCGTAGGAGAGGGGCAGGAGGGGGATTGGGACACGTGCACCTCGAGCGCGTGCGGCACAGCTGAGCGTCGGCTGGTTCGGTGATTCGGGTTCGCCGTGTGTGTTCTTGGCATCGCTCGGACGTGTGCATTTCTCCCTCGGCGAGGACTATCGAGGAGCATCCTTGATCATTTCGCGAAGAAACCACGCACGAAACCGAAAAAAACACAGGACATGGACGTCCGAGCGATGGCCAGTGTGGGGGTTGAGGAGGGGAGAAGGCCTGCTGGAAGGACGGTTGATTGTGACGGTGGTTTTGATGACGATGCCGGTGATGATGGTTGTGATGCTGGTGTTGGTCGTGGTGGTGATGGTGATGACTATGATGACAATGAGGGTGAGGATGAGGATGAGCATGGTGGTGGAGATGGTGATGATGAGTGTGATAATTGTGATGATGGTGGTGGTGGTGGTTGTGATGATGCTGCTGATGATGATGGTGATTGGTGATGGTAATGATGATGATGTTGATGATGCTGATGATGATGGCCATGGTGGTGGTGATGATGGTGCTCTTGATAAAGTCGGCGACGACAATGATGATGATGATGTTGCTAATGAGTTTGGTGATTGTGATGGTGATGGAGATCGCCATGAGGATGATGATGGTGATACTGGTTATGCTGCTGATGATGATGAGGATGGTGGTGGCGATGGTGATAGTTATGATGATGGTTAGGGTGGTGATGCTGATGCTGTCGACAACGACGACGATGACGATGATGGGGATGGTGATGCGGCAGGGGTTTAGGATGATGTTGGTGATGGTGACGAGGCTGGGTATAGTGATGCTGCTGAGGATGAGGATGATAGTAATGACGATGCTGATGATGATGTTGATGTTTGTGCTGTTGCTGCTGCTGCTGATGATGATGATGATGATGATCATGTTGGTGACGGTGATGGTGATGGTGACGACGATGGTGACAGTAACGATGGGATCATGGCGATGGCGGTGTTATTGAGGAGGAGCATGATCCGCAGGAAGAGGAAGAGGAATATCACGTTTTAGGTTCCCTAGTCAAGCTTTCAAGCTTCGGTTTTCACTGTGGCACCTTTGCGGGCCCGATCCCGCATCTGGGGGACACCCCCCGATCGAAGATCTTGGCGTCAGGATCGAGGGTTCTGAGCGTTTTTGTTAGCTCTTTGGCTCTGGGCCCCGTCTCTCCGCCAGGCCTTCCTTCGAGACCCCTGCTGACACGCGCGCTGGTAGAGGCTCGGGGGGCGGGTCGTTTGAGCCGTGTGGGCCTTGGGATGCTCCCAGTGATCCCCCACCTCGTCGTTCGATGCCGCGGGCGGCGCGGGAGATACAAGGCTTCCGCGCGCTTGCCGCCGCCGCCGCCGCCACGGCGCCACGGCGCCATCGCTCCGCTTTTTCCTTTGCCCCCTCCTGCCCCGTTTGCCTGAGTTTTCTCGAGTCTCGCGTTGTCGAGCGCGTCGTCCAGCCCCCTGCCTCTCCTGAAATCCATCCTTCTCCATCCTCCTCCCTGCCCTCGTCGACCTCCCCCCCCCACCTCCTTCTGCCAGTCCTTGGCCAGCGGGGGCGGCAGCGTCAGGAGCCTGGGCCTGGGAACGGTGTCGCGGGACCCCCCACCCGTCCTCCTCGCGCTCGTCCCTCCTCGCTCTCCTGCAGCTTCCCCCATCAATCCTCCTTCATCCATCCTCCCTCCTCCATCCTCCCTCGCCCATCCTCCTCCAGTCAGGAGGGGAAACAAAAACTCAGACACAATGAATCGCCGATCCCCAGAAAATGTGGGTCGATCCCCAGAAAATGTGGTCAACTATGGGAAGTGGGGGGGAAGACGAAAGCCCCGAACAGATGGGAAAACATGGGGAATCCTGTTATTTGTGTGCGTACTCATTTGTGCGTGTCCCAGGGCCCCCTGTCATCCAGCCTCCCTCCTCCCTGCCCTGGCCGGCCTCCCCCCCCTCCTTAAAGGGGCCCCAGGACACACAAATAAATACACACACATAAAAAGATCTTATACTTTCCTATATTTTCTGGGTCTTTGTCTTCCCCCCCACTTCCCGTCTGCTCCTGGGGATCGTCGATTCATTGTGCCTGTGTGCGTTTTGTCCCTCCCCCCCCCCTGCCCGCACTCGGGGGGGCGGCAGCGGCGGCCGCCCGCCCGGGCGGGGAGCGGGGAGCGGCGCGCCCCCCCCTGGCAGGCGATCCCCCCCTGGGCGCACCGCTCGGCGGCCGCGGCTCGGCTCGCCGGCCCGCGGGCCCTCCGAGGAGGAGGAGGGGCAACGACAGGGGGGGGGGGGGAGGGAGGGTGGGAGGAGCAGGGGCAACGCTAGGGAGGGTAGGAGGATCAGGGGCAACGATAAGGGGGGGGTAACGATAGGGGGGCAGGAGGATAGGGGCAACGATAGGGAGGATAGGGGGGGCAACGACAGGGAGGGTAGGGGGGGCAACGACAGGGGGGCCCGGGGGGCAGGAGGATCAGGGGCAACGACAGGGGGGATAGGCAGAGGTCAGGAGGGAAAAAGCACACAGACACAAGTAATCGACGATCCCCAGGAACATATGGAAAGTTGGGGGGGGGAAGACAAAAACCCAGAAAATATGGGAAACTATGGGGAATCGTTTTATTCGTGTGTGTGTGTGTGTGTTTATTTGTGTGTCCTGGGGCCCCTTCACTAGGGGGGGGTGAATCGACCCCCAATTGCCCAGTGATCGCCGATAGGGGCCCGATAGCCTCAACCTGCCCAGGAAGGTGCGGATGCACTATGGGAGGCCTATCGCCGATCTGTCGACGATGTATCGCCGATTCCAGGTCGATGCATCCCCCATATGCCCATCCCCCCCTATCGTTGCCCCTCAGTTGAGCAGGGATCGACTACAGAATTGCTTTACCGCACATTGATAAAGCAGGGGAGCAAAGATGTAGAATGGTCGTAGGTGTGCGAACATTCGATGGTTTTTTATTGGGTGCGTCGCTTTGACGAACACCTTGTGGGGGGGAATCCAGTTTTGTAGTCGATCCCCTATTCGCAAGAGGTAATGGTACTGCTACCCTTCGCCCCTTTCCCCCTTTTTCGACCTCCTCGGATGCCTTCGTCGCCACCGCTGGATTCGCTTCGAAATCCTGGTCAGAACGCACCCCTAGGAGAGGTCCGGGGAGTAGCGGTATCGGTATTGGTTGGTTTCCCCGCTCTCGAGACCGTTTTTGATTTTTTGGCGGTAAAGGGTGCTTGGCATCGCTCGGACGTGTGCATGTTCTTTCGCGGCGAGGACCTTCGAGGAGCATCCTCGACCATCTGGCGAAAAATCCACGCACGAAATCGAAAAAAACACAGGGAATGGACGTCCGAGCGATGGCCAGGGTGTGACCGGGGATGCAGGGGGAGGGAGCAGGTCACGTCACGGCTCGCTCCGTCGCCGTCTTCGGACGGGGCGAGGACGATGATAGATCCGTTCCAGAGCGTTCCGGCATACTCTCAGAGAAATCGGAACGCTCTGAAAAGGCCGCGACGCTCGGGACACCCGTCAGAGCCGTCAGATCTCAGAGGTTCTCGATTTATCTTCACCCGACGTCATCCTCCTCCTCCCTCCCCCTCCCCCTCCCCCGCCCCCTCCTCCTCCTCCGCCTCCTCCTCCTCCTCCTCCT